TTATATTTTCATCAGCGGGCAGATATACACTCCCCTCCATAAGTTTGGCAACCTTTTTTCCCAATTGAACTACGTGTTAAAGCCTCTTTACCTTCGAATTTTTATTTACTTAACCTGCGATGAAAATACTTATACTATTGATGGAAACGTAATTTGACTTTAATTCCAATACCTCCAATTTTTTCTCAATTTTTTTCCTCAATTACAATTGGTTGAAAATTGATGATGAATTTGATGAATTTTTGAAAATCGACATTCCCATGTTAACCAATGGGAAATGGTAGGTTTGCCGCAAGTCATATGACAGAATATCAATCCATCCGAGTCCTTGCAAAAAATACGAGTTAGGCAGGCAATTGAATTTGCTAACTTTATTTAACAAAAAATTGATATGTTTTTTCAGGTTCAACAAAGTTATAGGGCTTTAAAGTCAAAAAAACTCTCCCATTGAAATAACACAGGAGGCGAAAAATTATTTTCAAACATGAAATTTTTCTTTTTTGAAGACGAAGCTCTCTTTTAAGAAGTGAAGTCAAACGAATGCAAAGGGTAGATGTCATTTAACTAACTTTGAACCCGTTGATTATTAGAATGCACTGCATGATATTCGTAAATTACACGGTGTTATATCAATTCTTTTTATAATTGAATTATATTATCACAATTGTAACACCATTTGTTTTTTCACTGGTGATCGACTCGATTACGCTGGAAAAATCGTACCTTCGAAGTTCCGACATTTTGTTACCGAAACGAACCGTTTCGGTAACCAGCGTAATCAAGTGGATCACCAGTGTTTTTGCGGAAATATACATTTGTTAGTTTTTACATTCGTGGTATTACACGTACAATACCAGGATTGAAAGATTTTACTCACACAATCAAGACAGTCATCTGCATGATGTGACCTTTTCTACACTTTGTCTAAAAACAATTCAAAGTCACGGGGGTTGTAGACTCACCAAATGTTATCATAATGTTATATGTGAAACTATTTAAAGTGGTTTTTGGAGGATTTTCTGTTCAAAAAGTCGTGATTTTGTTTAAAACTTTTAATTTAGAGGTCACGCGCGCGTATCTTGAAATAAGCGATACACAAATGCATGGCATTCATCTTCACATGTTTTTGTCGAAAAATCGAGACAATTGGTTGATAATTATAAAAAACACACGATAATATACAAAAGCCATGTACCTACATAATGTACAGCAGGGGCGGATCCTGGAACCAACAAGAGGGGGGGGGCACATTTGAAGTCTGAAAAAAATTCTGCGCTTGCGTTGAAAATCTTGGGCCCTGAAACCAAAAAGTAACATAAAATACAACACAACACATTCCATCAATTAAATAAAATGAATTATGTGAATAAATACAAAAACAATATGATCGCCGTAATTATTAATTATAGTAAAGCATATACTTTGTTTATGCACTCCGCTTCAAATAAATCAAAAACTAAAAACATCCTGTATTTACTATGAATAATCTGATAATTATGTTGATAAATAATGTAAATCATGTGTAACCACAGTTGTCTACACAAACAAGACGGATATTATATGTTCGAAGTTGAATGTCTATAATAAGTCACACTGTTTAATAGCTAGTTCTGAAACTTATTTATCATGTGAATATTCTTATTCATCGTGCAAATAAGGGAAACGGGCGAGCAAGCTTTATTTCACCATTTAACATTCTTCTAAATTTAAATATTTCTCAAAGAGTTTGAAATAAAACATACATGTCTTACAATTAATTATTTTCTTATCAATTGATAAAAAACGAAGTCTAATTGCAGTAATTGGGATTTACTCCGGCGGGGGGGTTGCAGAGATTCAAAAGCTCCCTGGTCATCTCAACCCCAAATCAACTCAACCCAGTAAAACCATATTTTAGCACTGTTAAAGTATTCCATATTATATACAAGTTTGTTTGTTGAATAAAAATATTTTTTATAATTTTGATTTCCATTATTAGACCAGTCTTGTTTAGTTAATAATGTGCAATATCTAAAGCTCCAAACTGTCAACATGGTCCTTCTAGGAATTTAATATTTGGGACTAATATAGGATAACAGCAACTGCAAAACGCTATAGGATGAGCAAGGACATTAAGAGTGATTTATAATCACATGTCATTTTATCTTAATTTTGAATCTTGTTAATAAGTTTGTTTCGTTCTAATATCTTACACGTGGACACTATTGAGCATTCATAATTTTGTCAATACATTAGCATTGTTTAAAACATATTGTTTATTGCCAAAATTGCATTTTCCTAAAATTTGATTTTAAAATATGTTTAACTGTCTTTCAACTATTTCAACAAAGTATCGTTTAAAATATGCAAAATGCTAGATCATTAAAGTAAATGAACTAGAGCTCTTAAGACATTGCAGAAATGAATGGGGTTGAGGTTTACAGGGCAAGAGTTGACTTGGTGTTAAGTTTTACCGGGGTTAAGTTATACTGGGGTTGAGTTGACTTGGGGTTGAGTTTTACTGGGTTGAGTTGAATTGGGGTTGAGATGACCTGTCACCTTTCATAATATCCACATACATCTTGGTTTTCTCCATAATTAGACCCACATCTAGGGATTTTCTGTCAAAAGTGAACTCACGTCGACCGTTTCTCTTTCAAACATAGACCCACTTCTCAGGATTCGCTGACTCTTCAACATGGAAGTGATTTCTAAGGAGATTTTTCTCTGCAACTGTCAACATGTCTGTGATAAATGATAAAAATGTCACCCTTCTGGAGTGGAAGTTTCGGGTAAAAATCATCAACCCTGGGATTTAATCCGATATAAGCTTTAAGTTAGCGATAGAATGATTAAAAAGCATATGACATAGATTGGTTCCTATATAACATCAATTAATCATGTTTTTACTTTCCCTATGGGCATTATTGTTTTTGTAGAGTACGTTTTACATTCACGCATTTAGCTTGGCAGTGTATGTCCGACTCCAGCCAATCCAAACACAGTATTTCATATAAATGCAAGAATGCATTATATCACAAATCACTGCTTTTAGATCACTTGTTAAACAGTTGTCATGGTGAAAACTTGACTCTCCAGATTGAAATTGATACTTTTCCAATTTGATCCTTGCTTCAAAATATGTTCTTTTGGTGAAATTGACTCTTTTGGGTGATTTCATAGAAAATATTTTGCAATGTGTAAAAAGAATTTAGCCCAAGACTTTTGGACTTTTGCATTTTGGATGCTTCGTACCGCTCGGGCGTTGTTTCCTAAACTTTGTATTTCCAACACCTTCAATGGAATGGTTCAGCACATAATGTATTATACACTGAGTCCAGGGCGATTATAAAATAATATATTCTATTATAAAATATTCTATTCTAAGTGTAATAGTAAGTAAGGTTCATATAGAGCAAGACAACCAATCTCAGTCAAAACAACCACATTTTAATAGAATCCATCATCTAATCATCCGAATAATCAAGCCTTAAATAAATCCATACATTTCATTGTACAGCTGAATAGATTTCATCCTGTGGCATAACGCAAAGATATCATCAGTATGGGAAAATCGTGGCGATATCTATACCTATAATTCATATCCTATTTATGTCTGCAAACTCCCGATTTCGATCTATTAATTAAGAAAATGGATAAGGTGATCTTACAATGTCATGGATTTTGGAATGCTTCCTTGGTCCTATATAGTTTTTAATTGTCGTGATGTCCGTTCCTCTCATTTTAACTTTGTACTTCATATCCAACGTAACATTTTACGCTCAGGCACTAATCATAACTATAAATCCAAGAGAGACTTATTAAAATGATGATTTGCGTATCAAATTCTAAGAATCGATTGTCTGTTTCCTAAGCTGTGTTGATTCTTTTAATCCTACAATTCATTTTCGTACTCATAACTCATTATTACAGGTATCACATGTAAAGTAATTCCATGAGTCTCACTTTAAATTATTTCACTATTTTCATTTACATATACTGGTCCTCGACTCAAACATCAAACACATACAGACCCCATACTCAAATACATCAAACATATACATGGATACTCAAGCACATCAAGCACACTTCACTTCTAATTAAAAGAGGGCTTCTAGTTTATAACTAGACTATGCGCGCAGGGTATACTGAAACATATCAAACACATGCTCCATATATACTCAAACACATACCGGCCAATAATCAAACCAGGCATGCAGGCCAAAACTCAAACGCAGCCAACTCATACGTACAGGCACATACTCAAAAACAGCAAACGCAATAACGTGTACACACCCATGTATACACGTATACAGGTCCTAAAACTCAGACAAATTGAGTGTACCTGTATATACTGATTAAGTTTGTACAGGTCTGTTATATTCCCCCTTCTCATTTGTGCAATCCTTGAATGAAGTAAATGCAACGTAAAGGTAAGAAATAACTACAAGTACAGGTAGAATTTATATTTCATTTGTTCTAGAGATCATTGAAAAATGTCTCAGAAATAGAAAATGTAGTGAAACGCAAAATTTATTCTGAAAATATGAAAAAATTTGTTGAAATAAAAATATAAATCACATTGAAATCGAGAGAATCGATACTCTATAAGTCCAAATAGTCTTAGATGATCAACATTGTTTATCGATCAGAGTGTGCTTTAGGTAGCGTTTTAATACATTCATCACGAGATCAAATATGATTGAATAAAATATGATACAATTGTTGTTATTTATTGTAATCCGTACTATCAATGCTTATGAAGTACAGAGTCGATGCAAATCACCTTCATATTGAAATGACTAAGTATAAATCACCTGATACTATATACATGCATTGTTCAGTTAGTTAATAATCGTTATTTGCCACAGTTTGTGAACACGAATATGGAATTGAAATTATACCGTCATCTATACAAAACATAGATGCTTCTTCAATTTCATAAGTAGAACAGAATTAATCCTGACCAATCATAAATACAAATCCAGACCACGTGACTGCATAACTGATTACAAGAGTGACGAGAGAAGCGCGGAAGCAATGCTGACATATCTGAAGAGGACTTAGATATTTCCTATTGTAGATGACATTGAAAGGAATACGGAATCCATGAGCAACGAAAAGCAGAGTTACGGCAGTAAGATGTTTATTCTGTTCAGAAAGAATATTTCTATCCAGTAATTGATAAATAATTAGATACGATAATTAAAGATTTGGAAGGATTAATAAATTTGAAGTTCTCTAGATGACGTATCTTGAAATTACAAAATCGGTAAGGTTGTTACTTACTTCTTAGACTTAACTGTGCGAACAGTTCAGCCATTTCATCTTTAAATTAAATATGATGATTTTATTGTAGCTGGGACAGGTAAGATGATCCAAATAATATTTTAAGCCTACACCTTTGTAATTTTCAATAGTTAACGTAATGGCTAGTTTTTTAATATAATATATTTGATATTATTAATAGCTTACAAACACATTAAAGTTACAAAATTTGATATTATTGGGAATTTGGGGTCTGATTTGGAACTATTATTTTGTTAATGTTCTTATATCAATCACGTACAGGGTAAGTGAAAATTGCATTTAGATCTACATTAGTTCGTAAATACTTATTTTGGTGATAATTTAATATCTTTAGAACTCCACCACTCCAGTCTAAGTCAGTGTATAAGTATGAAATTACAGAAATTTCAAGATTGTATATTTGCCAGTGAAAGCAGTAAAGTATGTGTCAATAATTTTTTTCTAAACTAAAAACAGTGTTTGGGCTGGTGCATATTAATGATATTATATATCTTCATTTGCCTAATATGCCACAAGAGAATATTAAACTGTCATAATAAACCAGGGTTAACCTATTGGTTAAGTTTATTTTAGCAAACCTTTTATATTATCAAATTTCAATATAGCTAAAAGCCCATGTTGTATATTCAGTTGTCTTCTTCTAGCTCTGCTAGAATCTCATTATGTCTGCTCGTCTAATAAATAAGTCTACAAACTTAAGGTGTTAGTTCTGGTTGTATCAAAAAGCATCCGTTTCATCCTCTGTATACATTTTAAAAAATGAATAGATGGCGCCAGTCAATCTTATAATTGTCACCGAATTCACACATGTATACCTCCTCCATTACCTTAGCAAATTCTGGAACAAAATGTTTCAGAGTTTTTCCCAGCCGAGTTATGAAATTGGAGATCAGGCAAACAAAATTGAGTCATTTTGTTGAACTTGGGTACTTCATATTGGATTTAGTTTTAAAATTCTTTAGATTAGAGAGATTTCGCACCTAGTGAAAGTACAATCTTATAACGTATACTTATACTTATAGGTAAACGTACAAGGTGTTTCATAATGTGAGCTTTTCGTCAGGAAAGATCTTCTCGGACTGTAATAAATACAGGTCAAAGGGATGCCATTTGTACTTTCTTGAATTGGAGCATGTTTAGTTGATCCAAATGTGTTTGTCTAGAATAAAATAGGCTCATATATAGTACAAATGTTATAGACCCATCTCTTCTCAAATTGACTTTTTGGAGATGCTCGTTATGCAACACCCTGTATGTCATATGTTGAGCTACTGAATGGGTCGTTTCCAGGAATTGCTAGAACCTACTGGTTTGATTGGTGTTTCAAATTGATGGTTAAAGTATTTGATTGGATACTGTTCCCACTCAGCCAATTAATTTTAAAAAATGCTTGCGGTCAATTGTTCCACATACATGTAGGCAAATCTTTATACGGAGATCCAACTGTATACGTTATCATCTACGTAAATATGCCGTTTTGTAAGTTCATTGAACTTATACTGATCATGAAAACATTGAAATAATCAACTTGTTTATGTAATGTCTCACTTTAAAGAATCGTGACTCCCTTTAAAGGATCGTGTTTATAATACACTACAACTACAAGGACACAGAAGCAAGCATTTAATTATAATGTGCATAATCTACACGTGCAGATGACAGTACATTCATAGTCTCTAGTTGATGGAGCTTTTCTATAACGGGAATCGTTATGTTCCATTTAAAACTACAATTTAAAATTGATTTTAGTAAATATAATAGTTTGATATGACCCTTTAAACTATACGTATACGTATAAGTTGTACTTTCACTTATGTGCGAAATCTCTCTAATATGTCACCATGTCTAGTCATCTAATAGTTTCCTCATGAATGTTCATGATATATTTCAATATTAATGCAGTGTTATTTATTTTCAAGGCCACCCAGGGATGAATCGAAATGAAAATGAAGGAGTTTACCGAAAAGCTGATAAGAAATTTGGCGTGAGATAAACTTGTTTTAGTTTCCGATAGAGTGGATAAAATGGAACTACAAATCACAAATCACAATGAGAGCTCATTCGTATCAATCAACAATGTCACTATTACAGAAATAAATGACATTAATAGCCATGAACAGCAACAAGTATTGCAAAGTCATTGGGAAAACGACATGCGTCTGCTAATTTTTGGAGGCATCCTTTGCTTTATAGCCGTACTTGCAAATACCATATCGATATTTGCCATTCGACAGATCCCAGGTAAAATTACTGCAAACCATTTGATGTTTGTAAATCTATCTGTAGCAGACGCATTTGCAGCTTTGATGTATTATATGTGGATTGTTAGTATCTTCCTCTCTAAGTGGCTGTCAGAGGGTGATCTCCGCGCTATTTTCCTCGTGACTTACCTGACGAATTCTGGATATATACTCTTCTACGTCGCCTCTAATCTTATTCTCCTAATGTTTGCCATCTATCGCTATTTGGCTATCTATAGGCCCATTAGCTTCAGCGATATCACCAGCTTGTGTAAGATATGTGGCTATTTAACTGGAGTGTGGATTGTTTCCGTATTGATTGCATGGCCAGGGACCTTTCCTTTGTTTGTGAGGCCTCCAAAACCATGTATTCTAACTGAGAATGTATCGCATAATGTTACAACCAACCCAAAGATTGTGTTGAATACCTCTCATGCTGATAGCAAATGGATCATTGATAATAACACTGGACGTACAACTGCACAAATCGAGGAAGCCATTGATTATTCTGATGTAAAATCGAACTGTGATAAATTAAAAGAATTCGTGGAGTCAACGGGGATGAGTTTTGAAAATCTATATAACTACTGGAACTACATATGGCCCGGAGTAATGATTCTATCATTTTTGACAATTGTTGTGCTCTATATCCGAGTTTCAAGATACCTTCATAAGCGCTCCACGAGGTGGCGCCACGAACACAATATGGACGAAAACCTTTATGCTTTTATCACTACAGTTTTCTTAATGACTACACTTACCATATCAATCATTCCATATTTTACCTACATGATGATAAGATCACACAATCTTCATGCTGACCAAATGATGCTAAATAAGATTTATTACAACTTCATCATATATTTTCCCTGGATAAATTTTATCAGTGATCCCATCATATACGGTTACCGCACAAAGAACATCAGAGATGGATATTCTAAGATAGCATCTGATGTGACTGCTTGTTTTCGTTCGACCTTCCGAAATCGAACCGGGGCAAGAACAAATGTCGGTTACAGTCAAGCAAATGAACGATGCAGTTTCAGTACACGGCCCAGTATAACGGCGATAACGACTGCGTTATAAAAAACAAAACGAATAGATTATATTATATAATAATAAATACTAGAGAGGTTAAGCTACACGTATTTAACAAAACTTGAACGTGAACTTCAATGCGCGCGCAGATAAATGACGTCAAATTTGTTTATTTCCTTTGGGCCAGCGTGAAGTTTACAGGTTTTTACATGAGATTATCATATTCGTGCAATTTACAGAAACATATTCAACAAAGCATGAACGTGTACTTCTATGCGCGCGCAGGAAAATGACGTCAGATTAGTCTACTTTCTACAGGTAGGCGTGAAAGTTACAGGTTCTTACGTGTAGATGAGTGATTACGCGTCCCTCATTACGTGAATGATTTTAGCTATGTTCTAGGATGGCCCTGGAGCCCATATTTGATACAGACAATCTTACTTGTTATATTGGTAAACCCCAATTCTTAATTGGAAATTAGAATACATTTTGATGGGTAAATGACAACTTCAAATGTGATCGTATTCCATACAATATAAATTGGCAAGACCTATTTGATGCCCGGGGCTTAGTAAAATATGTATACTAAACGAAATGAAATGACAACCAGGGCAAGAAAGGATTTAGTGCGCCCTGCATTATGATCTCCCCATGAACAAAAATAAATTCATCTGATTTTTCAAAATAAATATACTGCTTTTATTATTACATTTATATGTACACTAGTATCTTGTTGACCTATATTCAGCACTGAATGGGCCACTTATTAGGGCCAATATTCAATCATAAAGTGTACAGGGGTAGAGATGCCAAACCATGAAGTCCTTTTGTGTCTGTCAAAATCCATTTGCATCCTACACATCCCTATATCTTATCCAAATATGTTATTAATTAATGAAACATAACAGTATAATTTTTGTATTCACAAAGTTTTATGGGATTTCATAAGTGTAAAAGTTGCTTTTGAAGCATTTTTCTATTGCCATTTTGTAGGAAAAAACGATGAAAAAATATTTTAATTGAAGTTTGACCTGAATCGATTGCAAACTTTATATTTGCACATCTGATGTGATATACCATTGTGTCATATTGTGAAATTATTTAATTTGCAATCGATTCAGGTCATAGTGTATTTTAGGTATTTTTGTGAAAATCAATAGAAACCAATGGTCTCCATCGGAATCTGATGGTATCCACATGTTAAGTCAATAGAACACATCCAATGTCAAGTCAATATACCCTTGCTGAACTTAATGACCTCAACCTCAAACAATGTGGGTCCAAACGCTTAAATATTTTCCAAAGTATTATGTGACATTGTATTCTTTATGTTACAGTTAAAAATGATTCATTTTGTTCATGGGGAATTCATAATAGAAAGTGCACTAGACCCTTTAATTGTGGTTGAATATGAAATAAAGCAAAAATTAAAAACAAAATGTTTTATTGCGACTAGATTCGAACCCAGGCCTAACGAACATTCGTGAAGTGCTAGATTGCCGAAGTGCTATCCATTACACCATTGAGGCATGACCTTTAGACACAGTCACCACATAAATATAGCCCCACGTCCACTGACATGGTTTCAGACGTGTAGCTTAACTGAAAATTTTCTTAAACGTGTACTTGAGCGTGGACTTACGCGTTCAGGTTCACGGTTTGCATTTATACGTGTAGCTTAACCTCTCTAATGTTTTTCCCTCCTTAGCTTTAACATCCACATAATGTTGCATCATTTTTTCTCTTCATGATATCTGTTGTTCTAAGCACATCTAAACTAGGCTTCACGAAGCAACTCCACAAGATGTTTCAGATGACTAGCTCAACTAGATGCTTTTTGATGCATAAAAGTTCATTCTCTTGAAATTAAGGGGAGGACATATTTATTTGACATCCTGTATATTATATTATATTATATTATTATACCATATCGTATCATATTATATTATTCAAATATTTAATACCATTTAGGCGAATACCTGTGCATCTTTCACAATTGATATTCCACGAAGCCCGAATAATAGCAAGTGAAATAATTGCAAAATATTTAGAATGTGTACATTTATTTAAAATCCTGATATATTTGATGTAACATCTTTGATATTTTCCTAATTTGTAGTATTTCCTTAATATTTAAATTTTATTTAATTTTTGTTTTATCTCAACTAGTCCGTTCGCGGAATATATCCAATGTATCCAAATAAGGACATTAGTTTGCATTGTATCATCAATAATTTATTGAGACGGGTGCTTAGATATCTTCTCACCATAGGAAACGATTTTGTAAAATGCCACTAAAAAGAGTGCAACTCAACCAGAAACCCATGAGAAATTATTCATTAAAAACTGTGGGGAAAATGTTTTTTACAAGAAATCTAATTAAAGATTTTACTGGATTAAATGAAATGGCAGACGTAACTAATTGAGGTTGAAGTTGCAGTACCCACGCATTATTGATATCACAGATCACATTTTATATTTGAAGTCTTAGTGGTCAATTATGACGCTGATCCAATGCGAAGATTATGCTGCTACAAGATTCAATATACAATACAACACAATGCAATGTAATACAATACAATACAATGCGATACGATACGATGTGATACGATACGATACGATACGATACAATACATAGTAATTGTGGAAAAGAAATATTCAGTTGCTTTTTGTTTAGAATAGCAATTCACTTCTATCACAACATTTAGATCATTATAACTTCAGCAATATATCCCATTGATACAATCATTCAACTACCTTAACTAAAATGTCATGGTTTAGGTTAGAGTGAGAAAAAATAGATTAGTCACGGCATTAATGCAACGTTAAGCAAATCCGGGGTCGTTCTTATTCAACTAGTCACAATTATTCTTGTGATTGTCTAGCTGTCAACATCTTAATAAAACAACATTGCCGTAGAAATATACGCCTTGCATTCAAACATTCGAATTAATATCCAGTGGGAAGATTATCAGTATTGCCTAGTTTCTCGCTGAGAGTCTTTTTATACTGAGATCAATTGCAGATAGGATAGCGGTGTTGATTATTATTTATTATCATTGCGGTGTTAATTGTCTGATTATAATCACCAGGGTCATACTGGTCAGTATCAAATGAAGGTAACTGGGATTTATCATCTGTAAAACCAAACTCCCAGTAACATTCCCTTAAGCGTCCAAGATATCGTTCAACATTGGCACCCACGCACGATATTATAACATTATTATCATACTCCAGAGTTCCCATGTCATAAACACCCTATTTCGTTCAAATATCAAAGCCTAACGTCAACTAAGCCTATAAACTAGTTAACTTCGATTAAACTAAAAATATCGAAATCGACAATTACCGTCCGCCATCTTAGATGCGAACGTTACGGCCGTTACCTTTGCTTGATAATGACCAGTGAAAATGACATCGCAATAAAAATGGCGGTCATTTTGAATATTTGCGACATACTAGTATATTGGCAAAAATCAAAAACACCTATAGATACGACTTATGAATGAAGGTACAGACGGTAAGACAAACACGTGTGTGATTACAATAGCTCACCCATGTGGACTAATAATATATAGATCTAAATATTGCATCCAAATGGATTCAAACGAATACAAGCATGCATATCCAGCGTACCTCGCAAACATCGTAAATGTTTGGGCATCATTTTCTATTGTAAAACTGGAACATATTTTCACACTCACAAAGAACTGTCCAGTTCAATTAAGGTTTATTTGATATTATGAGTGGTTTACAATGATTCACATGGCATAATTCAACATTTCTAGTAATTAGCTTTAACTAGGTTAACGTGACCCTGAAGCAAGTCTATTGAAATGCCTAGTTAATATTCCCCTTTTATTTGCACTTACCTTATAATCAATTTACCTGAGCTCATATGAACTTCGCCCCTGATTATTAATTAATCATTAACCCTAATGTGAACGTATTTTTCATAACACTAATGGACAGGGGAGTCAGATGACCCCCCCCCCCGGCGTTTCAAAAGTTGAAGAGGTACAGTAAAAAGTAAGGTACCATATTGTAGGTCATTCAAAACTTTCGAGGGGATGTATTAAGATCTCAGAAAATTATGTCAAATGGGGTCAAAAGTAGGTCAAAATAACATAGGGGTGAGCTTTTTTCGCGTATTTTTTAAACTTTTTTCTGTCAAAAACAACATATAATGTTTTTTTAGCCAGAAAAGGGTACTAAATGTGATAAATGTACGTGTATATAGCATCTATCTTTTTAGGACAAAAAACGTGGGTAAATACCTTTCTTAGATCCAGAGATGGGTAATTTGGTCGAAAATTTGACGAAATGAAATATCGAAAAATGGGGGGATGGGAGACAAATCACAGCCAAGGGTCTAAGATACCGAATAGATATTTTTAAATAACCTCATAGGACATACCCTTGGCTATAATACAGTATAACATTTTTGGATATTGGTTGAGCATTAGCTGACAAAATTTGTTTTTAGAGCATCTCGGAAAAATGACTAAAAATAGCCGCGAAACGGAAAAATCTTGGGGTAGGGGATACAAAAGAAAAATTTCCACAAAACTAATAAAGATATGGTTATATTGTTTTTATGTATCTGAGAAACATGTTCAGGACCTCCTAGAAAAAGATTCATGGATAAATGATCACTGGTTTTTGAAAAAACATTTTTTACTCGAATTATTTGAACGCGAGTCGCGGACCACAATATAATATTGAAAACTTCGTATCTCAGTCAATAAAAGTCAGATTACCTTGTAATATGGCTTGTTTGAAAGCGTATTTACTAATACTATATGGTCGTATATCCAAAAGAAAGGAAAAAGAACCAGCTTATATTTTTATTCTATGAAACCATAGAGACGCAGACCATCCTAACTCAGCCAAGTTACACCCGACCACCTCGATTTTTGCACCAAAAACGATATTTTATCTGTAGCTGTAGGTACTACGGCTATGACTAACCAATTTTTCTTGGCAGAGAAGTACCGGGAAAAATCGGGACGGGGGTCATCCGATCATAAACGCTAATGAAAATGAGAAATGTCTTGTATTTTGATCGTAGGCTTTCGATTCAGACCTGAGACAGGACAGTCTTAATTTCCTAGTTAAAGAGGCACATGTCTACTACAAATCATTCATTTTGGAAGAGAATTCGATAAAATTTATAATTCTCCATAATTTGAAAAATTTCGGATATCCCTATGGGGGATAGCATCACACGGCTGTCTTTTTGCTGTTGCGCGAATAGGTTGAAGACCAAAAGACAGAAAACGATAAATTCTAATTCCCTTACTTAGTTTACAGTATTGAGTCTCGCACAACTTAAGTATCCTGTCTTTCAAATGAACCCGGATTTGTAGTCAAAGTATAATTTCTTGAGATATTGCTGTTTTGTATCTAAAATTGTTGCTGCAGAACAGCTCTTTTTGTATAACAGCAAAAAAGAAGGTCACGTTATGCCTATCCGTGGGATATACATTTTTACTATATCTAGTACATGACGTCGTCAATGTAGATTTGATTTCATTCCTCGATCCATTATGAGAACACGTTGCTCTTATTTCAACAGGTTTTCGATATCTGTAGAGGATAATGTGTCTTGTAATGCGATCGTGTCATCAGTGTTTACATTCAATATTGTCATCATCCATCATTTTGCTGACATTGTTTCCGTTGAATAACAAGTTAAGGTTTAATGTTATTTGTATAGCTGGTGCGGAAAACCCACACGAATTATATTATGCAGTTCTCATTTATTATTGTATAGAAAGATATTAGATTATATTCAAAGTTAATGTGTATTATTGTATAGAGTACTATAATTTTACATTGAATGTAATTCACACCAGATATACCGGCATTCAGACTTGCAAAGGATCGACACGATCTGAGCGTGAATTTTTAATTTTTTGCTCTACTCAGACGGTATTTCAAAATATATAATCCTTGATTGTGAAGGTTATCTGTTAAAATATTAAATATATAGACTCAAATATGTTTTGTAGAATGCACATTGCATAGAATGAATGTAATAATAATATACTTCACTTTCTGTTTGTCGTGGATTTCAAGTCATCGCATGGATTGTGCCTTGTAGTCTATTTTTATTGTTATTACTTTTTGGCTCCCTGGAATAGCTGAGAAGATGGCTTAGTTTAATTATTAAATTGCAACAAATATTGCACTGACAACCAATCCCGATTGTGTCGAAAACCCAAGAAACAAAATTCGATAATACGTGATTGCAATTTTCAAATTAGATTTGTCTAAATCCATGATTTGGAAATGTTTTCAAGATTCGCAATTCGGCAGTAATTCCTTAATTTTATTTCGCCTAGGTCATCTTTACATCACAATATAAATTGTGTTAATTCCACTATAATCAGTGGGACTAAAACTAAGATGAAGAATGACGACGTGGTCACATTTGCTCCGATCTTCAACAACGGCGCCTAAAACGACACGTTGCTTCTTATTCAGCTGACCTGTCATTTGTTTGACTGGCATTGATAAAAGACTTTCCTCATAAATCCGAGCCCCTTTTGGGTACATCGGTTAGCTATAGGTTTATGATGTATTATTTTGCAGAAGCAATGACATCATGGCTACACACGCTACACACACGTCATTTAATAATATAAAGTGAATTTCTAAAAAAAACTCGCCTTGTCATATTCGACTCCTAGCCCCTCGCACATTGATCATTGATCCACGATTAGTAAATTTATCATTGTACAAATGCTCTCTAACAAAGTGATTTAATCCGATCGAAAATGTACGTAATTTAATTTTATTACGCGTAACTAAAATTCCAACGAAGTGTTTTTATTTGGAATTGGGACTTTTTCATGCATGTAAATATCCACTAATTGAAGATAACAGCATCTTCAAGCTCCAGGAAACACAAAACATTGGGACTACTTTGCGATCCTACGCATTGACATTTTCAGTGAAAGGGCTAGGTAATAAAAACAAAAACATGTATTTTCATTGGCTGCGGAGAGTTTATAACTCTATTTAATACATGTGTACATGTACAGGGTCAATGTAAACTGCTATGTTGTTGTTTGCAATTGGAATTCCAAAAACCCGGATGCACTATGTACAAATTGTTCGCGAGCACGGATCTCTGTTCGCGAGTGGATTAATATATTCGTGAGCTAGGAAATGTTGGTGCGCTACTAAAGATTTCACGTTCGCGATGTGAGAATCGTGGTTCTAGCACAAGGAACGTAGTTCGCAAGGTTGGTCTAGGAGGCCTGAGTAAGGCAACAATTAAATACAAACAGAAGAAAGTGTATGCAGAACAATCAAAAAATCATATTAAAATTGCAACATGACTTCAACGATTAAAATAAAAACATCTCCATTAATGAATTATTGGCGATATAATCAGCTAAACGCATTCGACACTATTTGAAATCAATTGATCCAAGATAACAGTGAATAACATTGGCAAAAAGAGGCCCTGTATAACCCTATCAATAAATTCTGATCATTTAATGGAGATTTTGACTGCATAGTTTCATCCAATGATTGCATCTGCCACCCATCGACATTTACTTCACTTATTTTAACAGTAAACATATTTGATAACACGTCCAGAAGGAATCGATCCAATATTAGCTTTTATTATAGTTAGCAATTTACACTCATAAAGGATTGCGATTGTAATTATTCAACCATAGCGGTCTATTAGAGGAGTTTCTAAATGATTTTGAAATCTCGCTAATTCTCGTTTTTTCATGAGATTTTAAGAGATTTGCACATTTTACCTCTAATGACTTACATTTCTTTATTTTTAATAGCATATTTGAATTCAGTGATATGTTTCCTACAATAATAGCTTTGATTTACACATTTATGTCATTTAAATCATTCTCCATGACATTTAAAAAAAACTTAGGCCAAATCTCCATTGATGTTATGCTAAAATTCTTTAAAACCATGGTTTAATCACATGACAACCAACATTTTCACGTTTAATCACAATATGTTCATCGACAGGATCATTTAATAGTATGCCATTCAAGTTTCAGACAGATTTAACTAGCACTCTTTGATAAATCATGAAATTAAGTGACTATTGCAAGCTTTTAGCATAGAACTCAAAGGAAGGTTGGCCCAAGATGAACAACGGTGACATCTATTATGTCAGCTTTATTCAGCTTTATTTAGCTATTTAGAAACTATACTTTTAAAGAGAAGGCAATGTCGTTTAAATTGTTTCAATCATTTTAGCATATTTCAAGAAACAATTAGTTGATTGGGAATTGAACTGTTTTTAGATAAGATTTAATGCCTCAAAGAATATTATATAACTTTTCATTGATGTCTATCTCCATCCTATTGAGATTGTGGATCAGTGGGTTGTCCAACCTATGAAAAGGGTAAGAGGTATTGTGTTTTGTGGGACTCGCAGTCTGAACTACTCCTTGGAAAACACGAGCTGTGGGAGAACGGCTACACAGAGAGTGGCTTGGGGGTTCTTTTCAGGACAACTCTACTATATGTTCAAGTTCATTGTTAAAGATGGGGTGAGAAACCCTCTAAAACAAAAAGGGCTAGAAGCAGTACTCGTTCTCTTTTGAATTTCGCTCAGTATTATGAGAACAGGTCCATTGTTAAACCATGGACCTATATCTCTGATTAGATTGCATCCATCACGCGGAACGATCACACATCGTGTTAAAAAGAACATTTGATTGTAAGGACGTTGTTTTAGTAGTGCGAGGTGCTTCCTAATTGACATCATTCTCTTGCTTTTACTAATTAATGGGTGAAGCCATTTGTGTTTCAGTTTGCATTAGCTTTAAAATAGACAGACGCGTAGGCCTACTCTCCATACGTGTTAGTGTTAACTTCCAATTTCCTATTCTTATGGAGTTTTAGTTGTTCAACACCTTACTTAATTGCATTTATTTGACATATCCGTCTAATGCTAATGAATAGGTAATATAGTAGAGTAGGGCGAGTTAATTGTTTTTTGTTTGTCCGGAAACGACTTTCCCCTTTTGAAGGAACACCAGTTGATTATACACCATTTCTTACTTTGATTTATACTCTACCCCCCACTGTATCAGAATCCTATCTAAGCCAAGCAGATACTCACCAGCATAAAAATAGGATCTGTGGACGGCGAGTTGCATAATTATTCATAACTTATTGCTCTAGGACTTCCTCAAAATGACAGCGTAACATGTCAACACATCAATCACTTTTTACCACATAGGTTTTTATGACTTGTAGCATCAGATTAAGGACAATGGTATTAGACTTAGTAACCCTTTATTAGTCATCTCGTTGTGGTGAAAACATAATAAACGTATTCAAAAGAAAATGGCTTCTGCTATTTCAAAAGGTAAAATCCAACTGTATATAAGTGACTTTCTATCGTATAGATGGAAATCGCATCGGAGAAAATCAGCATTTTCCCCAAATAATCGGTGTATTACAAAAACAGCATCAAGAACATAACAAAAATTCCCAGTAATTTGAGAAGTTCTAAAACAAGTTGTAGAGATAAAATTGGAACTCTGAATGCGAATCTTCTTCATTTCAGAACAATCTTTCGATGCCAATGTTATCTAACAAAAATGAAACAAGGCCTTGACATGCAAAATGTCATCATCTTCCATTTATTACAGACGTCGACCACCGAACACTGACCGCCCGAACGCTGTCCACAAAAATGGAGGCTATATATCAATACGTCGCCACTTTTGGTGGTGACGTAAAACTGGACGTCCCTTTCTTAGGTCTGCTTTTGGAGATCTTTACATCTAACTTCTTTGATCACTAATTGCAAATCTCAGTTCTTTCCATTAAAAATAGAAAAAGGATTATAAGCGAAACTGTCCTGCTTTTTTGCCAGTGAAAAGGTTGCTCTAACATTTTTTCACTCCTCATTTACCCAATAGTTTTCGCTGTAAATCCTAACAGAGCTAACCTAATTAATTCTTTTGTTAATTGAATCTAAAAGATAAGTATTTAATAAATATAATGAAATTGCACACTGAATTGAACTTATCAATGAATGATACCGAATAATATAATTTGATATAAACCACTGTTAGCAAAATTAATTTCGTGACACTCCAACATGAACTCGAGATTTAGGAATGATAGCGGGTATCGACTTGACAAATAACTATATAATTTGGTACGAACGTTTTATTAGAAATTCTCAAGACAAAAAAATAAGTTTTGTTTATGCTTCAAATACAATAACAGGCCCCTATATTCTGACATTTTTATCCAAGCAGGTTTCTAGTCCTCAAAACGTATATAATCAGGGCATGACAATTCTCGAGGATGCATGTCAGGCTTGACATCGTAAATGAACTCTAATTAGCCCGAGAAGCCAATCTTCGCATGTATCTTTTGAATTTCTGCATATCTCCGATTGTACCGTCCGAACGAGGCTGCATACCGTTGCAGTTGCTCCCGTGGAACTGTCGAATGAAGTTCTTGTACTTGTTCTCGTGTTTGGCGTCCCTCAAGTCCAGTAACAGGGGTGATCGGCAACCTCTGTTCATCTTGCTGTAGCATTTGCTCGTGGCCGGTAAAATGAAGCAAATCGGCTTGAATGAAATCTCCTCTTGGTTCGTGAAAGATAAGGCCGCTTGGAAGGCTCCGTGGCAATTATCTCCACTCTGTCGGATACAAGGAAACTCATCACCTAAAGGCATAAAATGATAACTAAATTAGACGAGCACTCCCCGATAAAGGTTTGGCAACAAAAACGCTCCCAAAGAATCGCAGTTCGAAGCTTGGTTATGCTTGGCGAAAAATATGTCAATTATTTTCCGACCTCATGTGATTTAAGAAATAAATTCAAACAAAAATTGGCAGGCGGTTATCAAACTGTAAGTTAGGTTTGTTAAACATTTTGAGTGGATTGATTACATGATGCTCATACTGACGTTTATAACTTAGTGTCAGTTTTTTTCATCTTCGCTTGACTCATAGATAATCGAAGGGTTAACGAGTCACATTGTATTAAATAAACCATCGGTATTTTTCATTTGTTGTGTTAATTTTTCAACCAAAGGTTGTGTACATGCTATAGGGTTTCAAATGGTACATGCTTTGCTTAACTTCGTACGTAATTATGGACTTTTTAACCCTAATGTGACGTCAGTTCCCTCGAACAAACATATTAACTTACCGTGTCGTGTAAAGTCTGATCCGGTTGTTAGTCCATCTCGTCCAAGACCAGTTGCCATCTCTGAAAAATAAACAAAGGCTTGGTCTCGACTGAAGTTGGGCATAGCGTATATAGGGTTAACCCAACTAATTGTTATAACATGCGTATTCCCATACAAACGCGATCTGTCTTCCAGAGAAAACTAAGATTTGTGGACATGTTTTGCTAACATTCCATCATACCCCAGTATGTCCTCTGTCAGTCAAAAAAGTTCGAATCAAAACTCCCCACGAAAATCAAAAGATCTCACCTGTTGAATACGCCATCTATAGAAAATGTCAAAAAATGTCATTCTGAATTTGACAGATGGAGGCAGGTCAAAAAGGTCAAATTTTTTAAAGAAAATGCACCTTAATCACATCAAATCATGTCTTAGAGTTGGTCCATACATACACTTTTTCATTTATGTACTTACCAAAATCCAACCACTGGTGATGCTATAATGTAATTACAATAATTGGACTATATTTTTGTTTTTGTAATGCCATCTATTCGTCTTCCCACTCGGCGGAAGGATCTAATGGTTGTGTGTCTCCGTAGAGGTTATTTACCGTGAGGGATTCAATATGGGTTTTTATTGCGAGGGACATATTGTCACGAGGAATAAACCCATATTTAATCCCGACAAGTAAATAAGCTTTTTATCCCACGATATTCATGAGTCTCTTCATAAGATCATAGTTCAAAATCCATATCAGATTTTTGTATGAAACAAAACCAGACTTTATATATCTGGTCTATAAAATATTATAATTCAACTGTATGACATTTTGAAATATGAACTTTTCATTGTAAACCATAAACGCATCAACATAAAGATTTAACATACGTGTACATGTTCATCGCAGGGAATTCACATAATGCTCAGATTGACATTGACTGTCCATGTCGGAGCACGATGATGAAATTACAAATCGCCTATTATACTCCTTACGTTTCAAAATCTCTATTTTCAATTTTGTTAGAAAAATGTCGGTTTCACAGGAGAACATCATTAAGACACGCTATCGACTCAACTGAACGCAATGGGAAGCTCTGTTGGCAAAAACTCCCGGAAGGTGATTTCCATTTTCGTGACCGGGATTGGGACGTGGATGCGATTTTCGTGAGCTGGATTGGGCGGGACAATACGATTTTTTCAATATCAAAAATATTCCCGGGTGTTATTCATCGGAAAGTAGTAGTATCATGGGATAAATAGACTTATCCTATGCCAAGTAGAGTTTTAGGGAGATAAGTTGGTAAGATATATCCCGTATCCTGATTTTGAGATTTCCATATCTAGAACCTCCATATCTCCCGCCATATCTCCCGCTTCGGTGCATATCTTCCTGCTTCCGGTAAGTAGTGGAAATGCAATAAAATGACTTTGCATATGAATGATAAGTTTATTTTTACACCTTGTACTATTGAAATGGCCATATGCCCCTGAAAACTCTACTTGGTATAGGATAAAGCAGTTATGTACGATCGGTTTGGATATTGGGTTCATCCCTCGTGAAATATGCATATCTCCCTCTGGATAAACCCCATATCCAAAACCTCCCGGTACATAACCCTTATATACTCGCACCTCTGCACAAACTGATGCCTAAGAAAACGGGTATAGTCATCAAATAACTGACAATTTGAGTTCAATAGTTATCGGAATATTTCGGGTCCGGATAATCAAGGTGAAATTTTTACTGTTACCACCACAAAGCGCAAAGTTGTCGCTACACACAAGTACACAACACGAACTCACCGTTATCCTTCACTGAATTGGTCAATGCGGTCAGGTCAAGGTCGTTACACGAGCCGGCCTGTCGCACCCTCGCTAACATGAGAACCAACATACGAGCAAGAGTGCTGTAATCATCAGTACATTCTCTAATTCCCGTAGCACACGTCACCATGTCTGTAAAAATGTACACCAATCATTCTTATTGGGCTAAACAGTGATATATGGGGAAATCTCCTCTTCTACTCGGCATATTTTTGTGAAGACCAAAGTGGTTGGAATTAAAAACCTGGTAGTAGTAACCAAAACCCCAGAAAATATGTCCAGAAATATGTCCTGTTGAAGAACCCTAATTTTAATTACTTGGAACCTTTAGTATTGATATTTCTATACTGATTCTTGTTTTAAAAGCAAATCACAATGAGTTTTTTTAAGTTATGGAGGATTACAGCAAGGGGCGATTTTCAAGAGTCATTTGAAAATATTTTCAAAATAAATTTCTCCACGGTTTACACAACTATTCTACATATTTGGAACCTTATAATATCAGAAAAAATGAAATATAGGTTATTGAATGTTGCAGTCATCAGATAAGACAATAAACTCTATCTTTAATTTTTCCTTTTTCTTTGATCTTCTTATTGGTATATCATCACATTTTTTCTCTTTAGTCTTTGATCTTCCTACTGGTTATCATCAGATTTTTTGTTGGTAAAAATCAAAAACAATTTTTATCTAGAATGTAGTGAATAGGACCAATTTTTTTGAAGAACTAAATGATATCCAATTATTGTTAAAAGATTTTGATCTGTGGAAATCGAGAAAGTGTTAAAAAATATATAATTAGTTAAAAAATACGCCGGTAACAAAATATTTTTTAAGAAAATCTAAAACTCTCTCAATGTGTCTTAACACTTTTTGGGTAAAGCTTTGCATGATAATATGCATTTCTAAAAATTAAAAGTGAATCCCCTGGGCAGATTTTTATGAAACAAAATAAATATATATAAAAACTAAAATAAAAATAGACCCTTGATCAAACCCTTGATTACTTCCATACACTTAAATTGATTGACCTGAGTATAGCCAAAATTAACCAATAAATGACCATATTATGTTTTTCTCGTAGAAATGTGTGTAGTTACCTATAAAGAGAGCTTTTCATAGTGAATTGGATATTTGATAGAACTTTTGCTTATAAACGGACCCCTGTTCATGTTAACCCTTTCCCGACGTGAATATAAGAGGAAAATGTTGTCCCCAGTGACGGATAAGTAAGAGTGTTTTTTAGGGGAAAAATGCAAAATACCTATGCTCTGGGACCTATACCTTGGATTTCATCACTGATATACAATTTTTAGTAAGGATTATCACATAAGAACAACTTGTCAAAATTTGGTGTAAAAATACTGAATAGAACTGGAGATATTGTCATTTCATTGATGTATATAAATAAAAATAATGGTGCCAAAAGGAGCCTATCGTCCTGAAAGGTATTACATAATAGGGCTCCATATGGAGCCTATCGTCGTGAAAGGGTTAAACTCCGCCATAACTTACTAAAACTCCAAGGATTTTTGCTAAATTTATAAAAAAAATCAAGGACTGTCTATATTACTATTTCAAAGCATTGAAAACAGGGGTTCTGCAACAGGACATAAACCCTTAACGAAGCGTCTTTAGAAATTTTTGGTTGACGCACTATGGTTAAAATGCTCTGGATTCTGGAAATATCCCATCTAAATAATGTACTATGGAGGAGACTTTGGCAATATCTTTTACTGTACGAAATTATATCACAGGCCCGTAAGACACTTTTCTCCAAGGGGGGTGCGGTTTTTAGCTTACTAAAGAGAATATAAAATTGTCATTTTTTTGCCGCGTAATCAAATCGCGTAAGACAGAGGGGGGGGGGGGGTAAGTTACTCCCTATATTGGTTTGGAACTAACAAATGCAACTTCCAAACGTTCCAATTGTTTTGTGGGGGGTATGAGGAGTGGTCCACTCCCCCTAGAAAATTTTACAGTTTTGAGATGCTATTTGGTGCTTTCTGGGCACTTTCAATGTGTAAGTTTCTAAGTAGTACGCCACCACCACGGGAATAAGAGTTGAGTGAATAAAAAACTGAGCATTCAGGGCCTAGGGGGTTGAAATTTGGTTGTATTTGGAGCGAATTTGCAACCATCTGGTACGCCTGTGCGATATGAGTCAATAAGAAAAATGTGAATTTTTTTTTCAAATTCTTTTAGGGGTGTCAAAGAGGATGAGAGGGTGAAGTGGGGTGGGGTGCCAGTAGGGGCGCAAGGGGTTGTTCCCCAGAAACATTGACCATATCAAGGTGCTATTTGATGATGTCTGGGCACTTAAAAAATGTCTGAGACAATACATGAAATTCAGAATATTTTCTTTTGTTTTGTGGGGGATGTGAGGGGTGGCTAACTCTCCTAGAAAATTTTACAATTTAAAGATGGTATTTGGTGCTTCTGGGCACTTTTAAAGTGTATTAGTCAATAAAAACATTGAAAAACAATGACAATTTTTTTCAAATTTTGGGGGTGTCAAAGGGGGGAGGGGTGCCAGAGGGGGAGGTGGGGCTGGGGTGCCAGAGGGGGAGCAAGTGTTTGTCCCCCATATCAAAATTTACAATATCAAGGTGCTAATCGATGAAGTTTGGGCACTTTAAAAGTGTCTGTGCCTAAAAGTGCCTATTTCCCAAGAAAAGTTTACAATTTTAAGATGCTATTTGGTGCTTTCTGGGCACTTTTTGGGGTGTTAAGGGGGGGGGGGCTGCCAGAGGGGGAGGTGGAGTGGGGATGCCAGAGGACGAGTAAGTGTTAGTCTTCCAGAATCATTAACTTTATCAATGTTCGAGCTATTTGATGATGTCTGGGCAATTTAAAAGTGTCTGAGACAAAACACTAAAATAAATTTAGAACTTTCCATTGTTTTGTTTGGGGTGTGAGGGGTGGCCCACTCCCCCTAGAAAATTTTACAATTTTACGACGCTTTTTGGTGCTTTCTGGGCACTTTCAAAGTGTATGAGTCAATTGAAGAATTTGAGAAAATCACAATTTTTTTTTTTGGGGGGGGGGGTCAAGGGGGGGGGGGGCGCAAGAGGGGGGGGGGGCGCCAGAGTGGGGGGGGGGGCAAGTGCAAGATGCAAGAGGGGAAGCAAGTCCCCCAGAAACACTAACTATATCAAGGAGCTATTTGATGATGTCTGGGCACTTTAAAAGTGTCTGAGACAAAACACTAAAATAAAAGAACTTTCCATTGTTTTGTGGGGGGTGTGAGGGGTGGCCGATACCCCTAGAAAATTTTTCAATTTTAAGATGCTATTTGGTGCTTTCTAGGTACTTTCAAAGTGTATGAGTCAATGAAAAAAAAATTACAAAAAAAATATTTTTCAAAAAAAAACATTTTTTTCAAATTTTTTTTGTGGGGTGACAAAGGGGGGTGCGGTCGCACCCATCGCACCCCCCCATCTGACGGCCCTGTATCAAACTCATAACTAGCTTCATTCGGCGTAACCTAACGGTCCTGTGTGACCTGGACACCTTTGACCATTTAAAGCAACCCTCACACATAAACTTTACTTAATTCAAGATATACAACAAGGGCACGCAGTTCGAAGTTAAGAAATATGAACTTACGTCTTATATAATTGCACTGGTTGCTCGAATCGAAGTTCTCTGGAAGATTAAGACAGGCATCGACGCTATTTTTGTCACATGCAGAATCGACCAGCACGGAGCATAACCCAAGCAGGGCCATAAGAACGAAGATCTTCGAATCCATCTTGACTGCTCTTACTTTGGACAAGTTCGTCAGTGATAGGCCTACTACTAGTCCCAAAAACAAAGAATACCCTTTGGACCGCAGAAGAGGTTGAGCTGTAGATCAAATTCGGCCACGTGACTGATACGCGTGTCCATGAGGACTAATCAAAACGCATTGATTGAAAGTTGATTCATGGATGTAAGAAAGTCGTGTGCAATGTGTCATCAATATGAATGAAAAGGGACGATGTATGCCCTTGAAATGATGTTTTCTAAACATTAAGCATATCACTAACGTTTGAAATACAGTAACGGATACCTTTAAATATAGTGTGGATGTCAAGTTTTTTTTGTTTAAAAGGGATTAACAATAGACTAGATGAGAGTAGAAATAATCTTGATTTACGTTATCAGATATTCAAAATCCAGTCAAAGTGATTTCATATTTGAAATCTACATGTAAAAGTACATCTAGAAATATGGTTTCGAAAATTGTTTATTAACTTTGAAAATCTATTTTTGCGGAAAATGTGACTTCTTGTTCGGGGAGATTCCCGATAGACCCCATGTTGTAAAATCACAAAAAGTGAAATATCTTTTCTTGGATTGAACATAACGAACATGGCATACGTTTAGTTCAATATTTTTCGAATTCAATCGGTTTGGAGGAAATGTAAGATTTGGCTTGTCAGTTTATGTTTAATTCTTACCATTTTGTGTTTTGTGGACCTTATACTTTTTACTTTTCATTTTAGACCTTGAATCAACTCCTCATTTGACACATGGGGTGATACCAGTGCATGACCTTAGAGATAATCTCGTATACTTTGTAAACATTGCAATCAATATTAGACAACGATATTAACTTGACATGGATGTTGAACTATCGTCAGTTATTCTAAAACCATTTGCGCGTGTGTTTATTTTTAGCTTTTCAACCTGAAACCTTTCACCCATTTGACTCAGCTGTACATTCATTTTTTTAGAGATAAGGACCCCCTCGAGGTGTGATGCAATCGATTAGACGGATCTAGAATGTACACTCCCCTTAAGGTTGTGTACACCTAGCTCGCCATGGGACAAAGTCTGTTTACGTTTGAAGTTGTATTACTATTTTCAAGCTTAAAAATATAATGCATATTGACGTCATTTGATTTACATCACATTTTCCAAAGTGTCACCTCAAGAAGTCCATTTGAAAAAGCGATGGAAGTATTAAACAAAACGTAACCTCATCGTGTTTACATACACATTACAGCGTTTACAAAATCATTGTGACATGGAATAGATGCTGCTACAAACAAAAGTGCATGCCAGAAAATCAAAATCAGAGACAAGTCAGTAGCTCATCATTTATATGAACCAAGATGTCATATTTAATATTAATATACGAGTTTTTAGCGTTCGGTCTAAGATGCACAGGGCAGACTATACAAAGCACAAAAAACGTATACACTCCATCTTTAGTCAAGGTTGTCAAAATCGGAAACTCTGCCGCTATTTTCGTCATATCTTTGTCATTTTAGGGAGTTTGTCCCTGATATTTTGCACATTTTTACATCATTCAAATTGATTGTAGTTATTTCCAAAAAAATATGGGCAAAATGCAGGATTTGCGTTTTTTGACCACCCTGTACGTTGCTAAGGGTGTTTCAAATTTGAATATAAATTGTTCAACGTATTAGTATGGTCCATTTATAGTCTTGACTGTCTCTGTATGCCTTAAATGGTTCGAACTTCATCCAAATTTTACAACATTTGAATCTCACATTATGTTTTTATTATGAATTGCCAATCCTGTTTATTCACTGTGTGCTTGAATTTATGAAATGAATTCTTACAATAAAATTAGTTAAATTCTTATCAATATAATAACCTCGATGCACGCGCACTCTATACTATATCATAATCTAAATTACACGTTAAAATATAGCACGTTTAAGAATGATTGATTTATGAATTTTCTGCATTTTTGACGGAAAAATTATGTCTTAAAGTAAGTAAAAATATCGACTCCCTCCTCTTCGTCGTCTTGGCTACTATCTTCGTCAATCTCCTCATCACTTCTCTCGTCCCCCCATATAGGTACGAATTTGTGTTTCACGTTCTCCTCATCAAGAGGTCCAATACGCATAAAGTTATTAACGAGTTCTCTCTGAAGTTCTCTCTGAGTTTCCTCTTCCCGTTGCCTTTTCTCTTGCCCCTCCTCTTGAGGTTTGGTTTCCATCTCCTTTTGAAGTCCGATTCTGATCTGCTCTTGAAGTATATTTTCTTCTATAGTTTCCTCTTCCCGTTGTCTTTTCTCTTGCGCCTTCTCTTGAGGTTTGGTTTCCATCTCCTTTTGAAGTCCGATTCTGATCTGCTCTTGACGTATATTTTCTTGTATAACCTTCTTCCACTTCGTCCACCTTTGGCGTTCCTTTAGATAACCTATTTTCGTTATTGTCCCTTCCTCGGTAATGCTGACTGGACTTTTTGGGTTGGGCCAATATGGTGGGAAAGGGAACGGAGGTGACGATAAAAGATTGTTTATTTCGTCACCTTTGTGTCTCAGATCCTTCAGTGATCCAATAAAGCCATTGATATCATCTTTCGAAATTTGTTGTGGATCTGATTTACAATCCAGAACATTTGTGCTATATTTGCAGATCAGTTGAAGACTCACTGATAACCCCCCTTCTCTAGAACGCAGTAACTCTCTAGCCTCTGGGCAAGATTGAATGAATTCTACTAGAATGTAGAGAACGAGTGTGAAAAGAACATCAACACGGGGCATATCACTTTTGCTTCCGAGAGCATCGATTAGAGGATAGCGTGCATTCATTAGACCTTCCAACCATTTCGAAGTATATATTTGGAGATATTCATTGTTTGTTTTGCCACCATCAATTTTCATTCTAAACACATGTTGAGCCACATCGTAAAAACATCTTCCGAGTGATGTATCATCTTGGCACTTGTCAAAGTGATGGAGGACAATGGTCCTCAAGACGTGCGAATTATATGTCGATTTGTGCTGGTACTTTTTGCATTGGCCCAAGCATTATTTCAGAATCATCAAGATCTTTCTGTGATGCTCATCGAGTTCCTTGTGCCCAGGCATATAATGTGTTGGTATCCAATTCCTCGTAAGACTGGGTAGGACAAAGTATCTCCCAGCCTCTTCAGCCGTTCTAGACTCCCGATGGTCTTCGATACAGAATGTCATATCGAAATCTGTGACACAAAGTGGCCCTCCGACGACCATGGTGATACACGGTCCAAGGTCATTGCTGTCAAGCATGATTTCATTACGCTTTAACGTGCGCGGATCCACCTCCCCCTCTTTGAGAAGCTCCTTACTCATACGCTTGAGATGGCATATCCCTTTGTATACAAGTCTTCCTTCTTTATGTAACTCTGTTAGCGCCTCGGAAATTGCTTTGTGAATTGGAACCAACAGGTCATCATACGAATCTAGCTTGACATCAATGCCACCGTACTTATCAATCTTAAGTAGATCATGTTTTCGCCAAGGGGTTGACAGTTTTTCCTTAAGCTCTCTTCTTATATAGACATCCTTTACACCCGGTAGCTTGAAGGCACCTTCATATAGTTCAGTTCTAATTCCTTGGTTCTCAGAAAAAGCAAGCGGATTCAAAAAGTCAAATTCGTTTGGTTCATCTATTTTCGTTTCTTGAAAGAAACTTCCTTTTGGTAATTTAGAATGCGTTTTAAACATAGGATACAATTGTCCTATTTTACCCGAAGTAGCGTCCACTATATTTTCAACAAATTCCCTCTGCTTCTGTACATCTTTGTCTTCATAGTTCAGTTTTAGCAGTTCGAATATTTGCTGTGAGCAAACTGTTAAGCTTTCCTGATCCTCTTGACACGCCATATTCAAACGTTTTCTCTATTTAAAAGCAACCTGCTATATTAGCAACTGCCAAAACGAAACTGAATCGGATCGGTCTATTATAACAGTTACTAATACAATTCAAAACGAAATTGAATCGTGACACATGCTCTCGACAGTATTAACATTGCAATTGATTTCCATTTCTTGTTTATGCAAGTATTATTATATTGTTCACAGGTTATCTATGCTCAGATAAGATTAAAATTCTTGAAAAAATCCTGGCAGTGATATTTATGTTGAATCGGGTCAAAGTGGGGCCCTAATCCATAATTTTTCAGAGAGTTGGATTGCTATTGTACTATGATGGGGACTTCACTTGAAAGAAAACATATTGTCACAATAAAAGCCACTGTATTTATGGCCACTGAGAAAGTACTCATAGTGAAAGATATGACAGTCTAAAATCACTTGCCATATTGCACATGGTCTTTTGATGTCACCTTTAATGTTTCCTTAAACTTAAATGTTCATCAGTTCTAGTGGATCAATGTTCTATGCATCTGATATTTATGGAAATAAAAAATATGTCCAGTAAAGAAAAATTAATACTATCTGTCCATTAAAAGAAGAGATATTTCATTTTCTGTGGGGACTCTAAGGGGACTCTCCCCGACCTACAGTAGAAGTCATATTTTCAAAGAAAATAAAGTTTTCAAAGTTGATACACACCTTTTAAAACCACGTTTCTAAGTGCAATTTTTCATGAAGATCTCAAATATGATATCACTTCGACTGAATTTTTAAAACCAACAATGGTGTCTTATACTTTACCATTATATACATCAAGTATAATGAGAAATCAACATAGCGGTATAATCCAAAACCGTGGGACCATCTGTGAACTTTCTCAAGTGAAAATGCGCAGCTTATGTTTTTACAAGTAAATGAGAAGATTTGGCGGTATAGGGTGTTGAATCAGGGCTTGTTTAATACCCGGGCCTTAGTATGCGTACCAAACGAAATGAAACAACATCGTCATCCGGTTAGATTTCTCATACCTAGGCACCTTTTTCAGCACCGTTTTGCGGTAAATTTACTCTATTTCAATGCAATCCGTTCACACCGTTAGCTACATAATTGATTAACCTAAACGTATGATATGTAACCATGGTCATTGAACTTGCCGATGATCAAAACAGACGGGGACAATTTTCGTTTAAACTTTCATTTTAACCTTTGTGGGAACTGAAAATTCACTTAGCCATAGACAATTTATTACGTTATGATAGATTGTTTTCACGATCATCAATCACGATCATGTGCTGACATTTTCGGCTCTGGACTTTTATGTCCAAAGGGGGTAACACACACTGTCAGAAAGAATTTCAGACACCCCTCTATTTTATTGGTCGATAGAATAGTATTACGGTAAAAAGGTGAACACAGAATACATTGAAATTGCGAAAGAGGTACGTTCCGGGTATTACGTTCGCCCTTGGTTGAATTTGAACGACAATGATCACGATGTTATAGCATGACGGTTACGCCACCTCTGAAAACGAGGTTGGACGGCTACGTACGTTCACTGATTTAACCAATAAAATGGCCGCGATGGAAGAGAAAACTAAGGTTGGTGCATTATTTTCTACTACTGTGAATGAAAGGATGAACGATTTATATAAGCGTCGCATTCGGTGATGCATTCAGTAATGTATATTTTGAACGTAGTGTTTGCAAAGTGATACCCAGGGATAACATGAAATAAGAAAAAAACTGTCGAGTTTGAAATTCAAAACTACACAAAAATTTTGTAATTTGTTTATCTTGTTGTTAGGGCATGGTCTCCATTGCCTAAAACCTTGATAGATGTAACCTACATACGATCATACAAAGCCAATTGAGCATTGGAAACCACCTAATATGTTCTACTCAAGCCATAACAATGCATTTTGAATTTGCGGTAACGTAAAAAATTGATGGACGGTTACGCGAACATGATTCAAATATGAAACCCCGATTCATTGTTGTTAATTTTGTCATCTTCATCATTACTTGATCCTAAATCTTCTTTTGCCTCTTCATTGCTATCTTTTACACTTTCATCGATTTCATAAATAAAGCAAGCGACAGTTTTTTCCTTGCTTTATAGAGGCTGAAACAAGAGCGTCTCTTGCGACTCCTGAAAACAAATATATAAAATTCAATATTCCATTTTTTACCCATTATAACAATAACATGGAAAGAGGCTAACAGATCTAGCAACTTTGACTTATTGACAGATGTACATGCACGTAACCGTCCGCTAAATATCTTATGTACAATTAATACAATACGTTATCGTCCATAGAATTCGATAGAAGTCATACGTAGTCGTCTAACGACATTGCGTTTGAAACGTTATTATTTACGATATACACCACGCGTTCCTGTTCTGGATTTGTCATTTTATGCCTTGTTTATACACAGTTTACTTACAGCTAATATTGTAGAGTGGCTCTGAGGCACATGTACTGAGAAAACACGAGAATGGACCAAAAATTAAAAACTTTGATATCTCAGTCGGTAGGTTTACAGCTTATATTCTTAATAATTCTGTTTCTTGTACACCACCTGGCAGATTTGACCCAGTCTTTATAACCATTCATATATACGTCACCGAATGGAACTAGTTTAAAGGGAAATCTTATCTGTGAATATTGCCTACAGGCGAGAAAGAGGACATGTTGCCTTTCCCATCCGCCATTTTTGCTATCGTTACCGCAAAATTTTGCAAATCGCCTTGACGTAACCGTCATGCTATAACACCGTGATGATACTTTATAGGGTGTATAAATAAATGTTACTAGTGACATCTTTTTTCTCAACACTAGAGATACGTTTAATGAACAGAACATGTTTTATCAAACCACTGCGTCATTAGTGAACATTTCATGATGGAAATAACCAGCCAAAATATTGTCCCCTTTGGCTTAATCTGCAACAATGGCGTGACGTGATACCATTTATTAAAAATTATTTCTCGGACTAAAGGTCCTATGCCCATAATTATTATATGTTTTTTGGTAGAACTTGCATGTGAACGTGTTAAATTGTGGTTATCATGTTCTATTAAAAACGTGTAACTTGACCTTCCTGATAACTCAATCACAACTGGTACACGGCGACGATACGGTCTAAAAATATGTAATAAGGGCTTTTAAATCTTCCCGCCACCGTTTGATTTCCACAGTCTTGCCCCCTATCACACAAAACTAGTTCTTACCAGTTCTTGCCGGTCCTACGAAAACGTCGTAAAACGGGCTCAATCTGGCTGTGGTCGGGAAATATGCCCAAAATAATTAGCTACTTCGTTCATAAACAGTCTTCAATACGTCCATCTCATTCGCAGTTCGTTCAGGTTGCACAATGGAGAGGTTAAGCTAACGATGTTTTTCACAACGTAACCGTGAACGCAAAGTACAAAAATTAACAAAGGAATGTATCGAGCGCTCATAGTTTTATGCGCGCTTAGTCTACTTCAGATACTCTTTTAGCTTCAGAGTTTCGGGTTTAGAACGGGAGATTTGAAATTTGACGTTGGGTCAACGGGAACCATTTTACTCGTGTCTACTGAACACTATGCTGTCAATTTTGATTTCGATGCACAGTTGAATTCTTGCTGAACACGATGATGTATGTCATGCATGATTTAGCGCCAAAAATCTTACGAAACGAGCTCGTTTAAAATATGTATTAGAAAACCAGCTATAAAACCGCATCAATGACATACTATAGAATCATTACACGCTATGGTGTAGTCTAAACAAACACTGGATTTGAACGGCTATTTATATGAGAAGGCTACAATTTGTATATGGTCGAGTGATACGTACAGGTTCAGTTTCGATTATATATGCAAAGCTTAACCTCTCCAATGTCGGTGTGCAACGTCGTATAACGCGTTCCTTAGTCTAGAAGGTCATCATGACCTGATTACAGAACGGTATGGTCGCCATCGAATTTTGAATCGATTGAAAATTTTAAATCACATTCCCCGTCTGGGAAAGTCCATAGAGTTGGTAAACAGACCGTAGAATGTTGTAGCTACGTTTATTCAGTTCTAACTTTATCAATACTTGATACTACTTCATATTTTTCTATGAAATTGTGTGTGAATATTCATTACAGATATTTTGATTATTCTCTAAAGTTTCATCCCGATTGATAAAACAATGTTGATATCATAATTAAATCAAGTTGATGGGTTGGGGTCGGGTGGGGCAGGTCTTTCACGTCAAAAGGAATAAAAATTGAAAATATGAAATAATTAATCAACAAATACTATTTTGTGTAGCTATGAGTAGTACGCTAAAAATATATTATAAGATACTAAATTACTAGGAGCACATCCTAGATTTAGTGGATGTACTATACAGGGTGTCTCAAACGATGTACCCAAAAGTATATCAAGAGCACAGATAAACCAATCAATATTTTCAGACATTTTTTGCATTATCATGTAGAGTAAACATGAAAGTTTTCTCCTAAATACAGTCTTGTCTTTTTGATGCTTTAACCCTTAACCTTTTACACCACATAATCGATGTAACCTCATATTTCGATGACAGCCTGTATCCTTACTGCTACATTGTTCATCACATTTGATAATAATTCCGGTGGAATGTTTTAGATTTCTCTTTGGATGTTGCCCTTAAGTTGTTCTAGGTCTTTTTACTTGGAATGAGCAGTAAAACACTCCTTCAAATAGCCACAGAGAAAGATGTTTGAGGATGACGATGGCAGAACGATAATCAGGTCAATTATCGGCAAATGATTCAGGAGTTACCTTCCAGAGTTAGGTAGGCTAGCCTGGAAACCAAATGATATCCAAATGAAAACACAGTGGTCTCAAATTGATACACACAACAAAAGCTACACTAGAATCCCAGTCAATGCAGTTTCTTGAAACTCTGACCTCACTGTATAAGGGGGCTATAAGACATAGTGAGGGCCTCCCTATTCACCATATTTGACGACCGATACTTTTCTCTCTGAGGCTATTCGAATGACCATTTTATGCTAAACCCAAGCTAAGAGACCTAGAACACTTATGTCCAGCATCCGAACAGAAATCAAAACATTCCACCAGATATATCAAATGTGATGAACAATGTAGTAATAAGGATGCAGACTGTCATCGAAATATGAGGTTACATTGAATATGTGGTGTAAAAGGTAACGGGTTGAAGTATGAAAAAGGCAAAACTGAATTAAAAACTGTGTATAGGGGAAAAAACTTTCATCTTTTATCTACAAGACCATACAAAAAATATCTGAAAATATTGATTTGTTTGTCAATGGTGATGATATACTTTTGGGTACATTTTTTGAGACGCCCTATATATTGCACAGTGTCCCATTTCACATTTTCTCAGAATATTGGCCTTTGTATATAATGCTCTTTTGATGCCTATCTCACACAGTCCTGGTACGATCTTAGCCATTTCTTCCATCGTGAAAAACAGGTGACAAAGTGAGATGTTTGGTCTCCCACATTTGGAGTTGTCCACACTAGGGTCCAATCATCATTTCTAAATCTCTTCTGCCACCTCATAATTGTAGTTTTATCTGCTGTATACTCCTTACATATTTTCTTCATGGTAGTATACGTGGCTGTGAACTCTGAAATTGGGTCAGCGAACGAAATTAGAATTAATTTTGACAAAATGATAATCCAATTTATTGTAAATATGCTTACACTTACATATTGAGTCTTAAAAAGTATGTAAAAATTCGGATGAAAATATTTATGTTTTTGTCCTCTTGTAATGAGAGGCATATTTCGACCCAAAAATCGAAGCTTTTTCAGCAAACGGCATTTTAAAAGAGACGAGACATATGGGGTTCCTTAAATATTGGTTCAATTGTTGGTGCACTATATTTTGTTAAGGATTCTTCATATTTCGGAGTCACACCATGGACTAATAAGTGGGTTATACCGTTCTGTGCTACTTAGATTCGACAGCTCCTCAACAGTTATTTATCAAGGTACATGCATCTGTATGGCACCCAGGGGCAAAAGTCCATAGTCTAAAGATCTTTTTGACTCAGTTAGTACAAAAGAAATAACATTTTTCATTAAGTTTAGTAATATTAGCAGAATTATTATGGCCAGTGATTGCTTAAGATCACATCTGAGGAAAGGTAAATGGGTATACGGCAAGGATTACTTTAAAGATGGCGTACTTATCTTGCCTCATGCACATCCTGCAGCATTCTCTGACGAAATAAAGGGTTTCAAAATACGAGAAGATGATGTTTTCATGTCGGCTTTTTCTAGGACGGGTGAGACAACATAATTATTTTTTTTCTAAATAATGCTTATCATCCAAACGAAAGAAATTCGATAGGAAAATATGAGGTCCTCCGTCCATCTGTCTGTCCGTCTCCAAGTCCAAAAATACCTACCTAGTTGACTGATTTTCGTCATATTCGATAGAAGGATGTGTATTGGCAAATTATGTTTTTGTTCACCTCTAAATGATGTTAACTATCACAAGGATATTGAAATGAAATTAAACTTAGTTTATACATCTGTAGTTTATATTGTACATAGGGACTCATCTAACCTGCGAACTAATCCATTGCGTAATGAAATGCGGTAACACGAGTGAGTTATGGAATAAACACATCCACGATCGCCTTGAGTTCCTGCAATTCAGTAGAGAAGGTTAGTGTAGTCCCGACTGAAATTTCATCTTTCTATAAAGGAAGCCCGTTGGATTCAGTTTCACGAAACCAGTGATATTGAAATATCGGTTGCTCCAAAAAGACGTCAAATTTTTGGACAAGCGTTTCCTTGAAGCAATTACTGACTCAAAATTGAAAATTTCTGTAAGTACCCTTAGGATATTGTTTGCAAGTTGAACAAATGTAAAAGAAATCATCAGTTACATATTATGTGACAAGTGACTAATTCAAAAATGCATGTCAAAAAATCCAATATCAGAGCTGAACGCTGACAACCATTATAACGTTTGTGCCTGCTATCAGGTGATAGAATCTGCTTCCGTCTCAAAAACAGTGATAGCGTAAAGGAATTAAGGGCAAGAGTAGAGCCGGTCATAATACTGTAATAAAAAGACTCATGAACAAAAATGTACTCCATCCAACATGCATTTAGAAGACGATATAATTGTGTATGGGAAAATACACCAAAGCATTTGTGCTTGGAAAATCAGCTTCTTTCAGACAAAAGTATACATGTACATGAAAGTGGCAATTATTATCACATAATATGTAACCGATCTATTTCATAATTGTACAATTTGCTAATGATTCCCTTAGACTACTTTGTAAGGATTTTCAATAAATTTGAGTCGGCAATTGCTGAGGAAGTACAGGCACGCAACCCAAAAAAACGCTATATCTTGGAAAATATTTGTCCAATTGTGTTCATCTTTTCAGGAAAGAAAGAAGAGACTGTGTATGTACAGCTGCTGTTGTTAGTTAGTTGTAAAACATGATGTCTTGTACACCTGCCCAATAGACAGTCGAACATGGAAAATATGAAAAACGTGAATGGAAAATCACGATATATTGGAAAATACTTATCCAATTATGTTCATTTTTTCAGGAAAAGAAAGAAGATATTGTGTATGTATAGCTCCTGTTGTTAGTAAGTTGTAAAACATGATGCATTGGACACCTGCCCAAAAGACAGTTGTTCTAGGAAAATACGAAAAACGCAGTCAGAGGTGACTTGCACAGCAATAAAACCTAACAATTTTCGAACCATAGTGTTTTGGCACTTCAGATTTGGCACAAATTATCCTCATTCAAGGTGTGGTGAATTTGTGGAGTTTCAGCAAAATCACTTTAGGGACTTTACAGTCATGGTCAAAATGCCTTCTGAAGTCTGCCGGAATCAGGGCGTTTGACTGAGAATTGAAAGCATTTCGACCATAACTGTAAAGTCCCTTTAGTGATTTTAATTTCACTTTATAGATTTACCATACAGTGAATGAAGATGATTTAAATTTGATGAGCCAAAACACTATGGTTAGGAAGTTATTTAGTCTTTTTGCGGTTGCAGTCAGCCCTGACTCGGTTTTTCGTATTTTCCTAGTACAACTGTCTTTTGAGCAGGTGTCCAATGCATCATGTTTTACAACTAACCAATGCAGGAGCACTACACACTCAGTCTCTTCTTTCTTTCCTGAAAAAATGAACATAATTGAAATAGTATTTTTCAAGATATAGCAATTCTTTGGGTTGCGTTTTTGAACACCCTGTACTTGTCCAAAAGTGTGACGTTTTGGGGAGACCCGATTTGTATATGACTATCTCTAATTTATGAAAACAATACTGCACATACAATCTGTTGAAGAATGGCCATTGAGAGAAAAGCCAAACATGTACACTACCATCTCTCTCTTTGGCAACCTTAGCTCCCCTATTGAACTACGTTAAAGCCGAGAGAATTGATGATAAATTTGATGTATTTTTGAGAATCGTCATTCCCATGTAATCCGATGGGAAATGGAGGGTTCGGGGCTTATCAGAAATCAGGATATCTTTTCAGTAACAGATTCAGCAAAAAAACATTTTAATATAGAAAATTGAATTGTCTAACTTTTATGACTTTGTACACTAAGTGTTTAGTTCATTTCATGAATACTAAAGTTACAGCGCTTCAAAGTCATTTTTGAAAACGATTTTTCGCCTCCTGTGTTATTTCAATGGGAGTTTTTTTTTTGAAAAACAATTTTGACAAACAAATTTTCCATCAATAGTATAAGTATTTACATCGCAGGTTAAGTAGATAAAAATTCAAAGGTAAAGAGGCTTTAACACGTTTACAGTTCAATGGGGGAGCTAAGGTTGCCAAACTTATGAAGGGGAGTTGTACATGTACAGTAAACGCAAGTACCCGAAGAGTATAATTACAAAACACAATGTTAGACTATGTGCATAAAAATTAGTCGAGGGTGGGAAAACAAATCTCCCAAAACTGTGAACTAACGCACAAAAAAACAATAACACCATTCCAGTATCATTCAAGAAGCAACAGGAATCCATGTATACGGCGTCTATATTTCATTGTTAATTAGTAGTAGAAGGCAAAGTTGAGCCAGATGATCCCGGTAGCAACCCCTTACCACCCGCTGCAGCTGCCCAAAGTCCGAGAGTGTTCTTTAATCACACGAGCTACGAATTTGCCCCAGATGATATTAAGAAGGGAAAATGCAAAGTAAGTAAGTACACGAAATGAGCGTTCTGTTTTCTTGTTTTTAGTTTTCTTATAGTCTACATGAAGATTCCACTCGTCTTGCTCACATCACATAGCTTCTCATATTCATCGTGTCCTAGCTAGTCTTATACCTACCATCTTCCAAAATTAGTCGCTCATTCAAGCTCACTCTCAAAAATCATTGTTTTATAGATAATAATCACCCATAGGAATCCTAAGTCTACATACTTGAGCTGGTTCTACATGTTGAGAGATGGTCTAAAAGTGTTTTTCACTCGGGACCATCCTCTAACTTGGGAAGATTTCTCTGCTGCAATGTTAACAGGAGAAACAAAAGACAGTAAGTTTTAAACATATTGTGAAGTAAGACAATAGCTGTTAAACACACGTTACAACGGTCGTATCACAAAACATCTAACAACACAATCGTTTGTAAGAAAAACAAACCAAAAGTCCAGATATCAAAAGTACGGGAAGAAATGCGTTTAAAACGTCTCTTCCACCATCACTCAAGAATATTAATTGCACTAGGCTAGGGAACATTGCTTTCCTAATGATATCAGCACAAATAATAATGTAGTAGAACAGAATTTAATGTAAAAGATAATTCCAATACATAACCAGTACATACTTATTGATAACATATTTTCACAAGAACGACACAGCATTGATAAGTTACACTAAGTTAATAAAACATATAGCTAGGCATGATATATCGAATATTCACACAAAGCTAGGCAAGGTGTGTCCGATTCCAGCTTTTAGTGATTTTAGTGACATAGAAGAAAATATTTTGCACTTTGTGAAAAGAATGTAAGCCCAAGACTCAATGCATTGTTGAATGACCATTCCTTGCAGAGCATATTGTGCACATTTTGAAAGCAACACCTTCAAGGAATGGCCATCCCACATTGCCCTGAGTCAAGGGCTAAATCCTTAATTCTAGCCAATCAGAAAAACAGTTAATGTAGTATTTGAAGTTATTATATATTATACATTTTACAAAATTACCACCCTCAATCAAAATATTGTTAAATGAACATATGTGCATAAAATCATCCTCAATTCCTCGTACTATCTGGTTAAATCCCTTAATACTATTTCAGTGGCGGGATTTAATGGGACTTGGTTTGACTTCTATAAACAATGGTGGGAGAATAGAAACGCAAGCATGTTCTTCCTGAATTACGAAGCAATAATAAAGGTACAGCTTTAGCATAATTACTGAACTCACCCCATACCATACAGACAGATCGACTAAAATTACTTCTTATGATGTGAGACTCGACATTCACCGGTAATCTTGAAATAATTTGGCACCCATGGAGCAAATTAATTTTAACTGCTTAATAAATGGTGAATGACAACCGAATTAAGTTGTCTAAGTATGAGAATAGCACGACGTCTTGATATTTTAAGGTAACGTCGTTTGAAAAGTGATGACAGTGATTGAAAAAACGATGTCAAGATAAAAACGCAACGAAATATTTTTAGATTTCTTTGAAGAACTAAAAATATACATCACATATCGAATTTTCAGAAACACAAAAACATTGTAAATCCAGCAGGTCGGACATTTATAGGATACGAGTATTACTTTATTACCTTGAAGTACACATCATACTAATGTCCTATCATAAGTTCGAATAACAGTAATTGTGTTTCAAATATCAATTGTATGACATATACGAGACCAATGTTAATGCTACCAGGGGGAATAGGATCTGCAAGCCTTACTATTCATACATGTTTTTCTGTTTTGAAAAATTCGATATGTGATGTATATGTCTGACTCATATTTTCAAAGAAATCTACAAATATTTCGTTGCGGTTATATCTTCACATCATAATTTGAATCACCGCCATCACTATTCAAACGAGTTAGCTTGAAATATTAAGTTAAGATGTCGTGCTATTCTCATATTTATAAAACTCAATATGACTGTCATTCACCATTTATAAAGCAGTAAAAAAATTATTTGCTTCATGAGTGGCAAAAATGTTCTAATTTTCCAGTGAATGTCGAGTCTCGTATCATACGAATGTAATTTTAGGCGATCTGTCTGCATGGTTTGAATTTTCTCTCTGAGCAATAGTCGCGAGATAAGTTAAACATTTATATCACATTTTTGATACATGATCTTTTAGGAAATACCCTGATCATTTTGTTTGTTACAATCCCAAATGAAATCATACAGTTATAATTGATCGATTAACATCACTTTTATAATTATTAATGACAGGATTGTAAAGCGGTAATAAAAGAGTTGGCAGAATTTTTAGGGAAGGACTTGAATGATGAGCAATTAAAGAATATTGAAGAACATATCAAATTTGACAACCTTAAGAAGAGCCCTGGGTTTGGTCAGGCCTTTGCTCGTACCAAAGCAATTGCATACGAGGATTCTCCTCATATGAGAAAAGGTAATATTATTCATTCCTCTGTTCCTGGAGAAAGCTTTTCCTCGCGTTTTTGAAATCTTTGGAAATCTTACATCTCGGTCGTTGGGTATGTGTTTACGTTAATAGAGAGTCCACTTGTATCATTATGGCTTTAGGCAATTAATTGTAAGACACTAGTGTCCTATTTGTTATCAGCGGAAGTGGGCAATATTGACGATATCTTCACACTAAGTTGAAATATCGTGAGACTAAAATGTGTACAGATTCAGCATTGGAATGTCAACACAACACCAGGTTCAACCTTTTTTGAAGTATCCCAATTGTCCGATTATTCGACCAACGTGATGTTACCATCTGAAATCAGATGCTATCTTACATATAGAAACTTTCTTTAAAATGATCCAAATCATTGAAAGTGGCTTAATGTTTCCAGGCAAGATTGAAGACTGGAAGAATGTTTTCACAGTGACACAGAGCGAACAATTTGATAGACTTTACCTGGAAAAAATGAAAGACACCGGCTTCCCCGAACCAATATATGAATGAATTCGTCATTCTCATTTGAATTGTATGGTTAATTTGAAACAAAGGACCAACCCATGTGCTAAGGACTGTTTTGAAAAATAACTCCACATTGATGGAAATTGAACCCATGTTTTAATTGAGAATAACATCACGGTGTTATAGCATGACGGTTACGCCAAGGCGATTTGCAAAGTTTTGCGGCAACGATAACAAAAAATGGCGGATGGGAAAGACAGCAAGTCCTTTTCCTCGCCTGTAGGCAATATTCACAGATAAGATTTCCTTTTCAACTAGCTCAATTCGGTGACGAATATATGGATGATTATAAAGACTTGGTCAAATCTGCCAGGTGGTTTACTAGAAGCGGAATATAAGCTGTAAACTTACCGACTGAGATGTCCAAGTTTATATTTTTAGTCCATTCTCGTGATTTCTCAGTATATGTGCCCCAGAGCCACTCAAACTATTAACAGTAAGTAAACTGTGTATAAACAAGCCATAAAATGACAAATCCAGAACAGGAACGTGATCATATTGTAAATAATAAGGTTTCAAACGCAATGCCGTTAGACGACTACGTATGAATTCTATGGACGGTAACATATTCTATTAGATGTACATTAGATATTTAGCGGACGGTTACGTGCATGTACATCTTTCAAGTTAAGGTTGCTAGTTCTGATAGCCTCTTTCCGTGTAATTGTTATAATGGGTAAGAAATGGAATATTGAATTGCTTATATTTGTTTTCAGGACTCGCAAGAGACGTTCTTGTTTGAGCTTCTATAGGGCAAGGAAAAAATTGTTTATGTCTTGCTTTATTTATGAAACCAATCTAAGTCAAAAAGATAGCAATGAAGAGGCAAAAGGAGAATTAGCATCAAGAACTGATGAATATGACAAAATTAATAACAATGAATCTGGGATACGCAAATTAAAAATACAATATTATGGCTTAAGTAGAACATATTAGGTGGTTTCCAATGCTCAATTGGCTTTTTATGATCGTTTGTAGGTTACATCTATATACCCCGATGTCGTTAGGCAATGTAGACCATGCCCTAACGACAAAAATAAACAAATTACTAAATTTTGTGTAGTTTTGAATTTCATACTTTACTGGCCCCCCTTGCTGTAACAAGAAACACAAAACACATTAAAACGTAAACATTAATCAATTAGTCACTTCACTATGAAAGTGAGGGGTGTTAGCAAATGTGTATTAGCAGACGATAAATTGCATTTTCGTTCAATCATTTACTGTGTCAACTTAGTAACCCTTGCATATCGTGCTCACTCAAGTATTGAATAGTTTTTTTATAATCTAAATGTTTGTGGTTTATTAAAAAAATTGATATATTTGAGTTAGAAATACATTCATAAATATATTCATCCAAATAGCACTAGAATGCGGGAAGAAAGAGCAATGGTGACAAAATGCAGACAGAATTTTCCGTAAGGGTTTCAAACATTTCTGGACACAATCATGCATGTGCTTCATGCGTACTGTTATTTTTAGTGTGTATTTATATATATAATTTCACGTATTAAAATTATATTTTCCAGCAATGACTTCAAATTCGGAACCACCCAAATATCACATTTTCTTCAATACTAGTAAGTCCAAACATATGTAAACACTTACCATGTGCATGTAAATTCAGATTTCACGAGCTCTCCCATTTGAGTACCTCATACACCCCTGCCTGGACCTGGAGTTGGATTCGCCTTTTATACGTGAGCCGATTCGCATCGCAAACGCTGATTGGATAAAGTGAGAAAATATGACCATGAAAATATATTACATTGTACTTTAGGATTTCTTCCTGAAAATATTTCATTACTTGCACATATATAGGTATGTAAATATTAGGTCAAATATCACTACTCTATCATTGTGTTACCAGTACCTTTATTATAGGCGTCTTAGGAATTTCAATTACCAAAACGTTTGTGATCCTCACTTTGCTCATACTGCATACCAATATATTGACTATATGCCAAAATATCACTATGATTCCAAACCAATAACTATGTCTAAACGAGATAAGTATTATCTCACCAAATCTTGGACTTATAAGCACGCTATATGTGCAGTTTCGAAATCTCTCTAATATCTCTGTAGATTAATGTGTCTGTACAATACCAAACTACGACCTCAAGAACCCGGTAACCTACTATCAAGTGTTTGGTTTTTCGCTGTCTACATCGGCCTTAGGAAGATACATATTTCGACGTGTTTGTGTTGTTTGACACCTAAACCCAAAAGGGAATAAAAACAATTCAAAGAGGAGCATTGACAGAATGGCCACTGATTGCTTAAGATCATATTTAAGGAAAGGTCGATTAGAGTACTTTAAGGATGGCGTACTCATCATGCCTAATGCGCATCCTGCAGCATACTCCGAAAAGATAAAGAGATAGAAATCCGTGAAGGTGATGTCTTCATGTCGGCTTTTCCGAGGGCTGGTAGAGTTGACATGGTTGACTTTATACCACAGGATTTAATTTATGACATGCATGCATAACACAGTGACACGCGTCTTGTACACAAAAAATATACCCAACTTCAAAACCAAATTTCTAGAATCCTGAGCAGTTTGTTTTAGATAAAAAGGTAGCAGTAAAAAGCCTGATTTATTCTCTATCAAATGGTACCAAGATCATTTTGAAACTGTCATGTATGACTGAGCAATCTTGACTATTATAAGAGGTGGTAAAATTAGCATTGTGCCACGTTATTGTGCAATACTGTTCCACAGAATTCTTTTTTCAGCAGCAATATTACATACATTTAATACAATATACTATTTAGCTTGATATCCCTCTGGATATATAAAGCATTAAATTTCAATGATGTATCGCAAAAAGCTCGCGCACGCATTGTTACACATTTTGTGGCGTAATCCAGAGGATCCTCGCTTTTAACATGGTAGAATGTGACGTTTTTGAGATATCTCAAAACATTTTAGACGAATAACTCTGATATCATATATATATTGTTAATGGGCTAGGAGCATCATAAAACACGAATCAATTGATATTTTAGGTGAAATAAATATACGTGTTGCTGTGCTTGAAAATTGGCGAATGGCGTAAATTAGCCCTATTTTGATGAATTTTGAAAACCTTTCGTCCTCCACTTTACCACATACAACAGAAAACACATACTTTTGCGAACAAAATCAACTATTTATTAATAAACTAGAGTTTAGGAGCAAAATAATAATGTATGATTTATTAAAAATTGATCTCGTATTTTTTGTTCAATGTACACCTGAAAAGTTGAAGGAACAAAAAATGAGCAGAAAAGGTCGCTGTCAACAGATTCTATTTTTCAAACTCTATGACGTCACAATATGGGACGCTTACTAAAATTCATCCTTTGAAATAAAACTTCTATCGACCTCTATCAAGACGAAAAATAAGTATAATAGTCATATATTGTTTGAGTTATGAGCGTTTAAAGACGAAAAATAATTCAAAATGTAACGTGTCAACAGGGAATATTTGCCAGATGTTTTGATAAAAAACTCTTTTTTAAAAAAGAACGCGCAAGAATTGTGAACGGAGTGTAGTTGATCTAAAAATTTCATCGAAACAGCTTTAAAATGATATACAACTTTAATTAGAATATTATTTTAGAATCCGGGGAATCAAAGTTACATTCACGCGATACCCCTAAAAAACAAATGCGCCACCTTTTTGCGACACGTCAATATGTTGTTATAAAATAATGTCTTGTTCACTACGATAGTTTTTGCTAAATCTAATAATTTGAAAAAAACTAATTTGAATAAGGAAAGAAAATGGAAAATGAGAAATTCAGGTATTATATTACATTCAGCATTTTCTACATTATACTTTCTTAATTTTACTTTATATTTATGATATAACATACATTTAAATTATTATATGCATAAACATATTATACAATATAAAAAATACCACTGTATGAATATAGTTATGGGGGACTCATTCTCACATATTGAAGCAAAGTTACCAAGTGTTACAACTATATGGCTTTTGCTATGGAAAATACAGTCTATACAAACATAATATTTATGATTTTTCAAAAGTAATTTTCTATAATCAGTTTTAAATTTATCTCTGCTATTGATTTCTCTAATTGAGTTTGGAAGCTCATTCCAGATAATTTGACCTGTGCACTCAATGGATTTTTGACCAAATGTTAATGTAAAGTTATTATCTCTAAGATCAAATCTATTTCTTGTAGATCTATTATGGATTGGACTCTTTGCAATAAAGTAAGCATTATACATGGTTGTAAAAATTTAGTTCTGTTTATTCGTTTTTATGGCGTGCACGGACCTGGGGACAATTTGGGAAATACGGGATAATGTCAGCTTTAAGCGTTAATCTCTGCCTTATCAAAAAAGCTATCAATGTGTTTCATATATCATTTTGAAGATTTTTTTATTTGCATTTCAGTGCAATTATCTTTCCTTGAAAAGTTTTATGTGATCTACCATTCTTTTTAAGTTAGATATACCCGACATCGTCAAATGCGCTGCAAGACGTAACACTTTACCCTTGCATGGTTTGTTAAAATTGGGATAACTTTTGAAATGATAATCAGAATCCCACTAAAATTTCACATCTTATTTAATGGAACATGTGCATTTATGACGTCACAATTGCGTAACGGATACAGTTCGAATTTTCTTATACGGACGCTTTTAAATTTTCAAAATTGTGTAAGGTTTTGAAGGCGAAGGAGACAAGCGATAAGCTTACCTTCTAATTTAGGTCTGATTTGAAAGAAAAATGAACTGCACAATATTGTCCTGGTGAAATTTACAAAACAATAATGGGTTTGTTGATTTTACAAATACTATTAAAATAAGAGCTGATTTTCGAGACTTGAAAAAATGTAACACATCGATTTTTTACCACAAATTCCATACATATCAATTTTTACCAACGCCTCAAGTCGATTTCCTGATGGTTTTTCAAAATTCAAAAATATTTTAGAAATATTGTCCTCGAGATCTTGTACCCTGTGAATTTTATCATGATTGATGAAGGATAAAGTATTTTATTTTCAGGTTGACTAAACTTGAAAAAATGTAACGCTCATCGTTTTGACGTTATAAGGCTGTTTGGGCCCTATATACTGCTCATTGTTTTGTTTTGGTATTTTGAGGCCAAAATGTTGTACGCTAATTGTCCCCATTTTCGTGCGATGTGTATCTATATTAATTTGTCGCATCTTTAAATTCAGAAGATGGGATTCGTTTTGAGTGATTTTACGAAATGAAAATAACATGAATTTAGTTTTGTCTATCTTTAGTAAAAGTTTGTTTACCTTAAGCCAGTCATCTAATGTTGTGAGGTCATTGTTGAGAATGAACTAATGTCTTTACATCTTTACCAGAACCAAGTAAATTTGTGTCATCAGCGAAAATTGTTAGTTTTAGAGTAGTAGTTGCTTTCACAATGTCATTAATATATATTAAAAATAAAATTGTTCAAAAAATGATCCTAGTAGTACGCCACACGATATTTCAGTAGGGTTTGATACACAACCGTCATATTCAGTAATTTGAGATCGATTTGATAAGTAACTAGCAAACCAATTATAAGCAGTACCCCTTATTCCATAAAGTGTAATTTTTCCAACAGAATCTTGTGATTAACAGTGTCGAAAGCTTTTGATAGATCTATAAATATCTATTTGTTTAGACTTTTTTGATTAGAACTTTTATGTGTTAATCTATAAAAAAACTCAAGTTCTTCTGAGAAAATGAGAATTTCAGCTTGGGTTGACTTTACATGGGGATACAATTGACTTCAAAGCTGCATATCATTAACTTGGTAGAAGTTTCATTGCTGATCAAGGGGCTGCGCATGCTGATCAAGGATCCAATTTCTAGAGAGGGCGGTAACAACAATAAGTTGTGTAAATTTATGCAAAAGTGTGAAGAACATGAAACAAGTTTGAATTTGAACATTAATAATGATTTGAACACAAAAAAAATCACTGTGTCAATCCTAATTGAATGTTAACCTGGCAAGATGCTGATTTTACCTCCTTTCATAATGGTCATGATTGCTCAGTCATCCATGACAGTTACACAGTGACCATCGACACAGGTACCATTTGATGGAGGACAAACTTGGCCTTTTACTGCTACCTTCAGAATTCTAGTATCCTGGCCTTGACGTTGGGTTTACTTTTTTGTGGACGCCCTGTATAACTAAGCTTATATTCGCGAATGCAACGTTCGGATACCGGATTAACCTATTCATTTTTATAAATTAAGCCGTCATTTTGCAGTTGATTTAATTAACAACCCGTTTGTCAACGAACAGTGATCAGTGGTCTCATGATTTTAATACCACTACTACGATCATTTTTAATAAAGCTGCTTGGTTGAATTAGCGAACAGATCGTAAGTCAGTGTTACTTGCTACGGCAGTTAGGACCGTTATTTAGGTCAGCAGTTGGGTTTAAAGCGATAGCTTGCTGCAGTATGCAGCTACCGAAATAAATGCAGTTAGTATTCATATTTAAATGAGTTTGCACTGGACAGATAGCTAGGATATAAAACAGAATAATCGGTGATTTCTATTTCGCACTAATCACTTATAATCAGAAAAATATTGTTCTGTGCCAATAGACATTGGTTCCTGATAATCACTTTTCTATTTTTTAAGAAACTGACCCACTGATTATCGCCAACTAATTATCAAAATTATTAAACTTCAAAGACCTAATTATACAAGATGATTATCACAACATGTTTATCATTACTTGTGGGACACCCTATAAGTGCTGTTGCGAAATCTCTCTAAACTACCAAACTAACAAACTACTACCTTAAGGACTCCTTGACCTTCTATCAAGTGTCCGTCTACTTACTAAAGGGAGATACATATTTCGACGTGTTTGTGTTGTGTGACACTTAAACCAAAACCTGAAAAAAAGAATACGAAGTAAAGAAGAACTTTGGTAGAATGGCCACTGATTGCTTAAGATCATATTTAAGGAAAGGTCGATGGGAATACGGCAAAGAGTACTTTAGAGATGGTGTACTTATCCTGCCGCATGTGCATCCTGCAGCACATTCTGAAGAGACAAAGAATTTTAAGATCCGTAAAGATGATGTCTTCATGTCGTCTTTTCCGAGGGCTGGAAAGGTTGACACGGTTGACAAATTTACAACACATGATTTATGATACACATGAATATCACAGTGACACTCGTCATATATAACTAAGCTTGTATTCGTAGGTGCAACTTCCGGCTGCCGGATACCGGATTACCTATTAATTTTGATAAATTAAGCCGTCATTTTGAAGTTGATTTAACGAACAACCCGTGAGTCGACGAACAGTGACCAGTGGTTTCATGATTTTTAATACAACTGTAACGATCAGTTACATTAATAAAGCTGCTTGCATTGCTTGGTTTAACTAGCGAACAGATCGTAGGCCATTGTTACTTGCTGCTTTAACGCATTATTGAGGTCAGCCGTTTTAGTAGGTGGGTTAACTACATTTGGACTTCATTTCATGATGCAAATGTCCCCTTTGGCATTAAAGAACCTTAGGGCAATAGAAACAAATTTATCCAAAGACACAATCTAGATGGCACGTTGCATTGGAAATATACGCATTTTTCAAAATGGCCGCCAAAAATACACCAGAGAAATATCTTTGCTTCTGTGCATGCTACAATTATACGATTGGTGTCAAAAATACATAGATGTAGTTTCAGAATCTATTTAATTAAGTTTCGAGTCTCGAAAATTAAGAACTTCCACTTCATATTCAAAATATACGCATTTTTCAAAAAGGATGATCTTATTTTTCTCAATTAAAACATATCAAAAGTTTTTTCTTCAATATATTACAATTCCTGAAAAGGGAATGGCGTTTAAAATGCGCTGAAATTAAAAACCACATCTCCCATGCTATCCATTGTTTTCAGCATAGTTTGGATGTGGCTCACTCCGGTGTGTTCTTTAGGATTTGTCCTTGAAATCAGTCCAATGAATGTTTATTGGAAAAATTGCAAACTCCAGAATAACTTGTGACGGAAAAATTTAGATAAAAAATATGAATAGATGTAACTTTAACAAACTTTTAAATATCCCTGTAAATAAAAAACAAGATAACGTTGCCATGTCAACACAAGATGATGTCATATGAAATTTCTTTAATTCATGACATCACTGATGACATCACTGTGACTTATATTGGTTGATGACATCAGACTCTGTGAAAGGCAGTGTCCATTTTTTTCATTCGCAAGAAGAGAGTAACGCATGGAGAACCAAGGGACTCTAGCTATCATGATGATAATCCCCCTAGTCACACCTCAAATATTATCAAGGAATCACTAGATGGGTCCATATCAAGGATCGAGGTTCCTACTCCTGACAAAGCACCGCTTGATTTAACAATGTAAAATCACAGGCCAAAGACTGCTATATTGCAGGCATGCTAAACACTGTAAAAGCATAGACTGCTGTATCACAAGCGGGTAAACAATAACGTGTTTAAATTAACAATGTAAATGTTGTTTTAATCAGGTAAGAATCGTCCTTTCACTGATTATTGTGATTAAAGCATTTTATATTCGAGTCACTTCGCGCGTGTTGCCATCAATCCGGTAGCCGCTAGCCGAAAGTTGCATTCCCCAATACAAGCTAAATCTAAAATTAAATCTTATTTTATACAGGGACACACTTGACCTGCGAGCTCATTCAAAGTGTATTGAACTTTGGAAGCACGCGGGAGTTATGGAATCAACAAATTCATGATCGTGTAGCTTTCATTTTACGATAGGCCCAGGATCATTGGATACGACTCGGCAGTCGATGTTCCCACTTTAATGAGTAAATGAAAACACAGAATGAAATCCTGATGACATCACTGTGACCTATATATTGATTGATGACATCAGACTCTATGAAAGGCAGTGTCCATTTTTTCATTCGCAAGAAGAGAGTAACGCATGCATGAAGAACCATGAAGGGACCCGCTATCATGAAGATAATCCCCCTATTCATAACTCAAATAATTTCAAGGAATCACTAACAAATTAAAGATGGGTCCATGTCAAGGATCGAGGTTCCTACTCACCTGACAAGGCACCGCTTGATTTAACAATGTAAAATCACAGGCCAAAGACTGCTATACTGCAGGCATGCTAAACACTGTAAAATTATAGTCTGCTGTACCACAGAGTCAGAGACATATAAAACGTTTTATATGTTAAACAATCACGTGTTTTAATTAACAATGTAAAATGTTATGTTTTAATCAGGTACGAATCGTCAATTCACTGATTATTTGTGATTAAAGTATGTTATATTCGAGTCACTTCGCGCATGTTGCCATCAAGTTGCATTCAATCCAGTAGCCACTACCCAAAAGTTGCATTCCCGAATGCAAGCTAAATCTAAAATTAAATCTTATTTTATACAGGAACACACTTGACCTGCGAGCTCATTCAAAGTGTATTGAACTTTGGAAGCACGCGGGAGTTATGGAATCAACAAATTCATGATCGTGTACAGTTTCTACAATTCAGTAGAGAAGGTACGTATGATCGTGTACAGTTTCTACTATTCAGTAGAGAAGGTACGTATGCATTTGCAGGTTTATGGCCTGAAATAAAGTGAATTCAAGACAACATGATACACTTTAACATTCGAAAAAAGTATTTTCCAAAAACAAAATTCCTCAACATTTGCATGGGAACTAGAAACTTATATCTCCCAACTTTTACATTCAAAGAAACAAAACCTTGTTCGAAAGTTTTTGACAATATGTTCTCGTAATAGAAGTACTGGACTATCCGGAGTGTGACATGTCATTTAACTTGTAATTAAAGATACTTGCATATTTTTTAGTATTAATCATCAATATCATATATTATAAATATAATGATACAATTGCTAGAAAAAATTATAATTAAAACAAAACTATATATCAGATGAAATAATTTGGATTATGAAGATTCTTATTTTAAATATGAACACCATAATCATGTCTAAACGGGTAACTTAGACATAATCACGCCCGGTGATCGTACAAAATGGATGGAGGGGGGGTGTAGGCGATTTCTGCAAAAAAACTCAACAAATTTGGAAGATTTATTTTTTCAAGAGAAAATTTACGACTGAATTGCCAAATGAATAGACGCAGTGCATGGTAGAATATGTTAGGTCTTCTAGTATTTTTTTTGAACTTATACGCTTCTAAGATATGAGATCTATTACAAAAAGCGCATCATCACCAACGTGCATGAGGGACGTTATTATCACAACACAACACTAAAATCACAAAAATACTCGAAATAAATTAATATTGGATGGAAGGGGAGTGGATGGAGGGGGGGAGTGGATGGAGAGGGAGTAACGTGTATATTCGACATGATAAGACATGCTACTTGAATTCATTCTTATAACTCCAAATTTTCCCATTTTAATTCTCCAGAGATATAATATCCAGTTTCTTACTGGGGTACTGAGTTAAGTTTTTTCAAATACACGAGTTTTTGTGAATTTGTTCCATTGTAAAGACATATAACTCCCCCTCCATCCACTCCCTCTTCCATCCAGTATTAATCTATTTCGATTATTTTTTATTAAGATTTAATTTGATTAAGAATCAAGATGGTCAAGAATCAAATCTAACTTTATGGAGATATGATAAAATCATTTCATTGGTCAGTTGATCTCTGCAATTGATTTGATTGGTCATCAACATTTTCAATAAAACTGCACGGGTCAGATCGAGAGTAAGCTATTACTATCTCATTGACAAATTGACTCTTGAAAATACTTGAAAAAATATTATCTTAGGTCATTTCATATCTTTTTAGTGATATTGTATGAAATAGTTTTCAATGTGTGGAAAGAATTTAAGACCAAGACTCAATGTATTAGGGAATGTACATTCCTTTCAGGCGTTGTTTCCTAAAATTAACACTCGATGCTCTCACATATTGTACAAAGAACAGGTCCATTTTAACAGACTATTGGTCCACTTAGACTTTTTCAAAAAAACTCATTCTTCCATTTAGTTTTAAAAAACCGATTGCAAGTCGTAGGTAAACCTTTTTCTTGAGATGTACAATTTCAAAAAGTGGCATTAGTTTTCAGTTTCTTTGAAAAATTGGTAGTAAGAACCCCTATCTCAAGGCTGTCTGAATATGGGTACACACTATGTTTACCATCAAAATAATATCAAAACTTATCATTATATAGAATTTATTATATGGAACATACGGCATACAAGCACTCGGAGAAGAACATTAACAGAATTCAGCTATGTATGAAGTTTACCAATGCAAATCTGGAAAACATTGTCATTTTCTGTTCACTTTGTTATCAAGTTTTAGCATGGTGCTCATTCCCTTTCATTGAAAATTTAACCCTGAGCCCACACTCCCACAAAAAAAGATAATGAAACTGTATAATGCAGAGACTGTAAAGTAGCTTCTCTTCAAATATCATTGTTGTGGGAGTGTGGGCTCACCACTAGATTTTATTCCCGGATGGGAACAACTCCCTCTATAGAAGATCCAGGGAGTAGTCCTCTTCCACGTGCTGAGGCCGCTCAAAGTCAAAGATTATTCTTCAACCACATGAACTACGAATTCGTTCCAAATGATGTCAAACGGGGAAAATGTAAAGTGAGTTGTAGTCATTTAATATCAAATTGTATATAACTTACTGGCGGAGAATACTGCCAAATAGCGATTTGCACCTAAAATCGGAGTACTAGTCTACAACATGGGCATTCAATAGACTACAATAAATAGATAATGTATCTATATTTCCACGAGTCGTTATCCTATTTATCGGCCCTTATTTCTGATATCTATAAAACGCAAAACGAGGCTTCTCTTAAAACGTCACCTATAAAACACAAATACTTGCACAGTTATACATAATATACTTTTCCAGGTCATAATCACCCATAGGAACCCTAAATCTACATACCTGAGCTGGTTCTACTTATTAAGAGATGGTTTCAAAGGAATGTTCGATTGGGATAGTCCTCTTACGTGGGAGGACTTTTCTGCAGCCATGTTAACTGGGGAAACTAAAGACAGTAAGTCTTGATCATGTAGTCAATTGTTCTACTATACTTGTATCTAATTGTATTGTGCAATGAATTACAAGAGACCAGTTGAGACGATAACAATCCACACATGCATGGAATCGTTTAAGGGACGCCCATGAATCCCTCTTTGAACGATTCTTACTGCTCCTCTTTATTTAATTCATTCCTACATAGTCATACACCCAATGCAGACAGATCGCCTAAAAGTACATTCGTTTGATGCGGGACTCGACATTCACCTTGAAATCAAAAAAATGTTGCCACCCATGAAGCAAATTAATTTTTACAGCTTTATAAATGATGAATGATAGTCACATTGAGTTTTTTTAGTTAGTTAGTTACATACTTTATTGTCAAACTATGATACATAAATTATACATCAACTGACACTTTAACAAGTGTATGAAGTTGTTTTAGTGACAAAAATGAAAATTCAATAATAACTATACATATTGATAGCATATGTATGCATCTAACTTATGGCTAGTGGTGGTGGGTTGTGGCTGCCAATGTGTGTTAACTCTATTTCGGTTTAGGAAAAATGTATGGATGGAAAGGTGGATGAGGTGGCAATATATAATTATATTTCACCAATTAAGTTTTTCTTCCTAGTCATTTTAAATTGAAGTAAAGAAGGCAAAAATCTGACATGATCTGAGATAGAATTCCAGATTCTTGGACCCTGTACTTTGATTGAATATAACCCTATTTTTGTTTTGTAAGCCCTAGCATGTAAATCATGACTTCTTCTGGTAGGATAATTGTGAAAATATTCATTTTGATTAAAATAATCATTATATAGTTTTGAATAAACAGGTTCCTGGTTAATACAACAATAGACAAAATTCGAAACATTAAATTCATTCACCTGGTTTACAGGTAAAATGTTGTACTTCTTAAAGAGAGGTGCTGAATGTGCCATTCTTGGCTGGTTGTCTAATATTCGAAGGAATCTCTTTTGAAATAGAAGTAGTGAATGCAGCTCATTTGTATGAGCATTGCTATGTCCACCCCAGATTAAATTACAGTAATTTATATGTGAGTATATCAGGGAATTATAGATTGCCAAAAGACTTGTTTTATTCAATAGGTAGCGAATCTTATATAAGAGACCAATTGTTCTGGATATTTTTGCTTCTATATGTTTAATATGTTCTTTCCAGGTAATATGTTCATCAACAATGACACCTAAAAAGTTGATAGATTTTACTCTTTCAATTTGTTTCCCGGACATATCAATTTTAATATCTCTAAAGATTTGTCGTTTCTGTTTATTGAACAAGATAAATTTTGTTTTAGAATAGTTTATTGACAATTTATTTGCTTTGAACCAATCGTCCATAAGATCAAGTTCATTATTAACCTTTTCTATTAGAGATTTCAAATAGTGGAGTTCTACAAGTATGGAAATAGCACGACGTCTTGATATGTCAAGGTAACTCGTTTGAATAGTGATAAAACCACAACGAAATATTTGTAGATTTCTTTGAAAAACTAAGAAATATACATCAAATATCGAATTTTTCAAAACAGAAAAAAGCATTAACATTGGTCTCGTGTATATCAGACAATTAATATTTGAAACACATAACTATTATTCGAACTTATGATCGGACATAAGTATGATGTGCACTTCAAGATAATAAAGTATAATACTAGTATCATACTAATGTCTAATCATAAGTTCGAATAATAGTTTTGCGTTTCAAATATTAATTGTGTGACATATACGAGACCAAGGTTAATGCTACCAGGGGTAATCGGACCTGCAGACCTTACAATTTTTACTTGTTTTTGGGTTTCGGGAAATTCGATATGTGATGTATATATTTTAGTTCTTCAAAGAAATCTACAAATATTTCGTTGCGGTTTTATCTTTACATCGTTATTTCAATCACCGCCATCACTTTTCAAACGACGTTACCTTGAAATATCAAGACATACTTATACACTTAATTTGGCTGTCATTCCCCATTTATTAAGCAGTAAAAATTAATTTGCTCCACGGGTGACAAATGATTTCAAGTTTCCTTGTGAATGTCGAGTCTCACATCATAAGAATGTAATTTTAGTCGATCTGTCTGCATGGGGTGTACATATTTAATACATACAAATTATATACCACATTCATCCACATTCGAGTTGTGAATCACTAAACCGTATCCTCACTTCATTAATGTATTGTAAATATATGTAGTTGTTCGGCTACTTCGATAACGCAGTTTTAACACATTATATGATTTTTCAAAAAATAAAGTACATCGCTGTACCAGGTGACTTGGGATAATCTTTTAGTTATGTATTCCAAACAGAATCCCATTAGCTTATAAATGTGAGGTTGATTGTTCTATTTCGTGTCTAATGAACGCCTGTATCTTCGGAATAAAATATCCTTCTGTAATGAACACCTCCTACAGCGAACACTGTGGATCTAAAGACGTTCAATGTACACATGTTTTACTGTATTTACAGACTTTCTCTATCAAAAGAACACAAAAAATGTTCAGCGACTCACAATTTTAGAATTACTTGCATGAAATATTGGGACTCTAAAAAATTAATCATCGGGACTCAAATTTTAAAAAGGAATTAACATCGCGTCCCAGGGACAAAAAAAGTGCTAGCACTGTGAGGGTTTGAACAATCAGCACCACATTTTGGGGTACCAATTTATGCCTTCTCATCAATGGACGATATTGTTTCATATTTTAGTGCCAGGATTCTGTGGGACCTGGTTTGATTTCTATAAGCAATGGTGGGAGAATAGAACCCCAAACATGTTCTTTTTAAACTACGAGGCACTAATGAAGGTACTGTGTCACCATTTAATCCTTGCCTTACCTGACCATCGTTCTATATTTTTGCAACATCACTTTCTTTCAAAATCACCGTTGAGAACAGCCTCAATGTTTTACATTATTTAGTTAGTCGTTTTCACCCTCTATGTATATGCCTTTTCTCATTCAAGTCATTTATTATAGATATATAATATTTCAAATTAAGTAAGGTCTATGAATACGAATATGCATGTACCCTCCAAATTCATTTTAACCTATCATATCATGCAAAAATATACTTTTTATCATATTATGACATCCAGTATTATAAAAATGATTGCCAATGTGCAATTATAACAGGATGCCCCAAAGGTAATAATGGAGTTGGCCAAGTTTCTAGAAAAGGACTTGAACGAGGATCGGATTGAGACGATTTCACAACATATTAAGTTTGACAACCTAAAGAAAAGCCCAGGGTTTGGCGAGGCCTTCGCTCGATTGGAAGTTCTTGGAAAGGGGGCGGCCCCTCATATGAGAAAAGGTATGCTTGGTCAATTTGAAAATACATGTACGGAAAGTATGAAAATTCCTACCCTTTTCTGATGCATCGTAGAGAATATTTTGGAATAAGGAATCTTGTCAGGAACAACTGAGTACTAGAGTACAATCAGAAGCCGATTCCTGACGTTTATGAACGGATTGGACGTACTAAGAACCGTTTGGGGTCTTTTTGCAAACTTCATACTTACTCGAACGGGTAGGCCCTCCAGAACTTAGAGCATGCTCAAAATTCTCTGATGGTCGTCACGTTACCCCCCTATCACACCAAATTAGTTCTTACCCGTTCTTGCCAGTCCTACAAAAACGTCGTAAAACGGGCTCAATCTGGCTGTGGTCTGGAAATATGTCTGAAATAATTAGCTTCTTCGTTCTTAAACAGTCTTCAATGCGTCCATCTCGTTCGCAGTTCGTTCAGGTCGCACCACGTCGGTGTGCAACGTAGTAGAACGCGTCCCTTAGTCTAGAAGGTCAACATGACCTGATTACAGAACGGTATGGTCGCCATCGAATTTTGAATCGATTCAAAATTCTAAAATCACATTCCCGTCTGAGAACGTTCATAAAGTTCGTAAATAGACCTTAGAAAGTTGCAGCTACGTTCATTCCGTTCGCATACAGTTTAAAACCAGTTTTGAAGAACGCAGTGGCAACTTGTTTGGTGTGATAGCTATATTTTTGCTAACTCGTTCATCAGCAGTGTTAAATACGTTCTTAATCAGTTTAAACCCGTTTGCAATTAGTTCTACCTCGTTCTCAACACGTCCTCAGACAGTTCAACTCGTTGTTAAAACGTCCCTAGTAGGATTGAAGTACGACGGTTCCGATCGTAGTACGTCCAGCTCGTCGTTAGTACGTTGTCACTCGTTCTAATTGTAGAACGTGACGACCACGAAAACATTTTGAGCATTGTCAAGTTCTAGAGGACCTACCCGTTCGAGTACGTTCGATGAAGTTTGTAAATAGATCCCAAACGGTTCTTAGTAGGTCCAGTCCGTTCGTACACAGTTGAAGCCCGTTTTCGAGAACGTAGTGAGAACTAGTTTGGTGTGATAGTAGGGTTAGATGCAATTAGAACGATTGTCAACATTTTAGAACGAGTTGAACTGTTTTGGAACGTATTGAGAGCAAGGTAAAACTAATTGCAAACGGGTTTAAACTGATTGAGGACGTATTAAAGACTGCATATCCTACGGTCTATTTGTGAACTTCATGGACGTGGTCAGACGAAAAGGTTTAGAATTTTGAATCATCTCAAAATTCGATGACGACGATGTCGTTCTGTGATTAGATCATGTGACAACGTACCTCAAAAGAGATGACCCACACAAAGAACGTAATTGCCGTACTTCGATCCTACTAGGGACGCGTTAATGGAGAACGCTGTGCGACCTGAACAAACGGCGAATGATGTTGACGACTGCATGGAGACTGTTTAGGAACGAAGTAGTTAATCATAGACATACCTGTATTTCCCATTGAGTTAGCAAAAAATAGCTATCACACCAAACTAGTTGCCACGGCCCGTTTTATGACTTTTTCGTAGGACTGGAAAGAACGGTTAATTGAGAACTAGTTTGGTGTAATAGGGGGGGGGGGGGGGGGGTTAGAGCTTTAAGCCAATGCATACAGTATGAATGAACTTAAAGAGATGTTAAAGTTTGTTTTGAATTTTTTACACCATAACATTAACTAACTACTCAATATGCAACTTTTCACCACGTAGAATTTTAAAATATTAAGTTTAAAAATTCCATTTTTATAATGGAGCTCAATGGGAAAAATGACATAATTTGGATTATTTTCAAACGTAGCGGCGCGATTTTCTTGAAATTGACAGATATAATAAATATTGGTAAGACGAAATGTTTGAAGAAAAATGAAGAAAATTCACCGTCCTGGTTACGCAAAATATAGAAAAACGTGAAATAATCATAAAAACCTGTAAAAATAGATTGAAGGGGGTGATATTCATATTCATATTTAATATGCCTTTCACTACTACAGGGTAACCATAGTTTTGGTAATGGTTTACTAATTTTAAAAGCATATCTTCCAGTATGTGTATCAAGCGGAAGTAATACAATAAGTGAGTTATCATTAATTGGAATGGTATTATATTATATTCCTTAGCAATGATGACAAAAAGGTATAAAATCAATCAAAATAAGCATTCAAAGCTTTTCAATGCAATCATGAATTTAGTGATCTGACCCTTAAAAACTTTTCAGGGGGAATGGTTTGTCCACCTGTAGCCCTTAGGTGTATCATCTTTTTCTAGCCATATTTTCCTAGGCCTGCTGGGATACTTATTTCAGTGTGCAAGTTTAGCATTGTTTTCCCATTGATCATTTGAGTTCTCATGTCAATAAATGGAAATAAAAATGATAGAGTAGTTTATTTTATTGTAAAAATCAAAAATAGAACAAGGTTTGGTCAGGAAGGGAACAGGTGAAATCCTTGGGATTTTCAAGCAGGTTTAAGTACATTCTGACCAATTGTATTTTCAGACTTATTCATTTCATGATTATGTAATACTGACCTGCTTAGTAGTGTCCTGTTTAAGAACCCTTATTCTTGCCATTGAAAACGGATTCTAGCAAAACTATCTAACATGAATGTACTTGTTGAGACTCAATCAACTTGAGCCTTAGGAAATAAGGATTTCAGGAAGTGTGCAATGTACATTGACTTAACATGGGGATATACACCATTGTACACAAGTACATTCATGTTGGATAGTATTGCTAGAACCCATTTTCAATAGCAAGAATAAGGGTTCTTAAACAGGACATAAAGCTTAACCGAGGAAATTTTGGGTTATTACAGAGTGGTAAAAAATTGAAACCCTGTATTTTCCTCATATCTTTGTCATTTTAAGAAATTACTCCCTGATATTTCAGACATTTGTAAATTGTTCAATTTCCTACCAGCTTACCATATTCCATGACCATCAGACTGATAGTCACAATTTTACAGCACTTTGAACAACATGCTTCAGGTTTGGCCATCAACGCGCTGGAGGCAAACCTGCACAGCTGTCAATGATCCAAATGCATTCCTCATCAGGTATGGCCTGAATGATACAGATGATCTCGCTTTTGAGGTCTGCAATTGTCCTGAGATCATTATTATAAACTCTATCTCTGCCACATCCCCATAGGTAGGGACATTTTGGACGACATGTGCAGTAGTGCAATAGTGGCCACCGGGAATGTTCTTTAAAGTGCCGTAACAAGGTGACTGTCAATCAGATGGTCATGAAATATGGTAGGTTGGTACATGGTAGGAAATTGAGTGATGTACAAATGTGCAAAGTTATTTCTTCAAATAATAAAGATAAAAGGAAAATGGTGTAATGGTGTAATGGTTTCCAGTTTTTTTACCACTGTACTGTATAGTACACACTTAATGTATAATCTCCTTTCTGTCTTGTTTCCAGGGAAGATAGACGACTGGAAAAACGTGTTCACGGTGGCACAGAGTGAACAATTTGATAAACTCTTCCAGGAGAAAATGAAAGACACTGGCTTTCCTGAACCCATTTACGAATAAGACATGGTTATGACTATGTGAAGATTAATATATACGATGATTAATTGTATGTTAACAACTTCATCAAATGACCTTACTCGTGGCACTGAATTTGATAACTTTACCACGGAATATGACTAATCCTTTCAGTAAAAATAGTGACCTTACCCTTGTAAAACTGTATCATACTGACATAAGAATATCAGCACAACTAAAATCACTAAAATATAATCTGATTTCCCTGTGTTGCACATCATATTTTTATTGGACAGTAGCACATCTGTAAGCAATTATAAGGCAAGAAGCAGATGCCTCGGGAAGTATTTTGTTTATTTTTGAAAAAAGAGGTTCAATCGTAGCTATAGTTAACATGTTTTACACAATACTAGAAAAATAGAACGCGCAAATTCGACATGTGTCCCCTCTATTTTTGACAATAAAGACATTATATGTTCTTGTTTTTCATTTCATTACTTTGACCTACTTTTGACCCCATTTGACCTACTTTTGAGATTTTCAACATATCCCTTGATATTTTTGAATGCTATATAATATGGTACATTTTAATTGTACCTCTTCGACATTGAAAACACCAGGGAGGGTCATCTGTCCATTAGTGTCATGAAAAATACGTTGCACATATTAGGGTTAAACTCCTCTGACGCTATATATAGCGTTGCGTTTTTATGAACGTCAACGAATTCAATAATCAAGTGTGACAGTTGTCACACTTTAAGTGTGATAATCATCAAAGCTTGTTTGATGAGAGTAGAAGTCTTGTACCCATTGGATCAGGTTGATCCCTGTATGATACTTTTTTGTATCTGTGGAAGGGGAGCATACTTTACTTTAGACCACTCTTACCTGTAACATTCATTTGAGCTAGCAATGATGGTTTCTTTTACCCTTTTATTCAGAACCTAGAATAGGTCAAGGCTCTGAATAATAAATAAATATACAGTTTTAATGCTGATAAGATTTAAATGACCAAAGAAGTAGATGCATGGGCTTTAATGAGTTTCATTATTAAATGAAAGACAAGTAATGGATTCAGATGAAATAGATGGACTTTTAATAAATATTCATAGTATTATGATTGGTTAAGGCTAGATGAAAGAATTATCTCTAACTCAGAGAGTAAAGATGAGGCACAAATATATATTCATATTCATACATCATTATAGCTTGTCTGTAATTGTTGGCATGTTCACTGTATATAAGTTTATTGATGATTTTCTTGCCATGAACCATATAAAAAATAGGTTTTTGAGACAAGTATATTTGTACCACAACAATTCAAATATTTAATATTCACAGGTTGTACTATATATGCAGTAGAAACATCTGCATCTGATCTGTTTAGTCTGAAAGTAAAATAATTGTAAATGACCAGATAAATTAGAATTATATTTGCCATAAAGTGCAAGGATTAAAGATGCGACCACACTCACTAATAATTATGGTTTTGTTGGGAAGGGCACTACTGAGTCATCTAAACTCAGATAAAAGAGGTCATATTCTTTCAAAATCCCAAATACAGTATTGAATAGACCCTATAAATGACTTTGAATAATAGAATTGTGATACAGTTACACACATTTTTTATTTTAACATTTGGCAACAATAATGAGTAAAAGACAAAACATGTGAAAATGAGTGAGTTATTTTTTAATAATGGGATTTTTTTCATAAGGGAAACAAGATGTCATCATAAAACTGTAGCCTATGATCAGGATTTACACAAGTATAATATTACGTGACTAGTATGACTATAATATGCATGCACTTGGAATTATAAGGTGAGTTTTGGAAAGATGTGACAAAATCTGAGAAAACGTCATATATTATTTAATTTATTTTATCTCATTGAAATATCTGAGAAAGATAACTTCCCATACATAATAGGTCCCCTACCTCCCCATATAAAATCCATAAAAAGTATAAAAAAATGTACTGTGATCATTAATGAAGCTAAAGTAAGTTATTCTTTGTGGTAAAAGTGCGAAAATAGGTGACGCCACTATAGGGAACTTCAAATTTTGACCCAATTTTCAGCCCGATCTATCTCAAATAATTTCTGCTTATTCCTTTCTGTGATTGCCATAAGATATTGTGGGTATTTTGCTTACATTTTCCATTAAACCACATTAGAAATACTTTATACCCCTTCCCCCATGTTTGAAAATGAATAGATGGCGCCACTTTAACTACCCATAGCGAATTTGTTTACCACACATTTTTACTCCGCCCAAGATAAAGGAGTGGTATCGATATGGAGAATTGAATTCAACAATGTTTTTCTCTTAAACTAATCATTGAAAACATTCTGTACAAAAACACGGTATTTTATGTAATGTTGACTGATTGACAACAATATAATGCGAAAATTCATATAACTGTTTTTGTTACCATTTTTGTTTTTTTTAGTGCAATTGTTTTTTGTTCCTTTCTACCAACTCTTGAGAATGGAATAAGATGTCCTTCCGGACCTTGTTGGAACAAAGAAGCATATACAACATGTTTTTAGACTTCTCAATATTATAGTTATACAAAGGATTTTTGGTTGATGTTAAAAAGGTATTCAAAAAATAAAACAAAATCCCCCCAAAATAGATAAAAATCAAGATAAACCTTTTATTTCATTAACAAGATGCCTTTTTAAAATCAACCAAAATTTCCTTTGTATAATTACCATATTGAGAGACCTAAACATGTTGTGTTTATGTCGTTTTGTTCCAATGAGGTTCGGAAAGATGTTTCATGTCACTCTGGAAACATGATACCAAGAACAAAACAAGTGTTTGATGTGTTTTCTAAAACAATATAGATGAAAGTATATTTTTCTTTCAAATTATATTGTTACAATTCAAAAGATGACCATTAAATTGACGATGTGTTAAATTTAGATTTTTTATGACTGGTTTAAGAGAAACGTGTGTTCAAAAAGTTCTCCATATCGATACCACTCATTTACTCTACCTTTTTTCCCAGCCGAGTAACGAAATTGGAGCTGGAGACAGGATCAAAAAGTAATTTTTTATCATCAGTTTTAAATTTATCCCTGCTATTGATTTCTTTAATTGAGTTTGGAAATTCATTCCAGATAATTTGACCTGTGCCCTCAATGGATTTTTGACCAAATGTTAACCTAAAGTTATTAGCTCTAAGATCAAATCTATTTCTCGTATCTCTATTATGGATTAGACTGTTTGCAATAAAGTAATCATTATACATGGTTGTATGGTTGCAGTTTAAAAATTGTATCAATGAATCGTTTAATTGCTGTTCCCCATACACACTGATTTCCTAGATAGGCAAATGGAATTGAGGTCAACTGATAGGAAGTTAAGTTGAGTCTGATTTTCTTAATCTTAGGAATGTAGGCTTATCTTGATATTTTCCATATTCAAAGTTAATTTAAGACAAATCAGAAGTTTTCTGTACAAAAAGCATATTATGTAGTTGTTCTGCAGAGTTTCAAGTTTATCAATCACCAGTGCAATATTTTCTTTCGTTTTTTTAAATGAGTTAGATGAACTTCGATTTGGATTATGACATGTTTGAACAGTAGTTACCATGCGGGTTGTTTACTTAACACCTGTAGGATATGTGGCAAACGAGCTCAGTTTTCCAAGAAATTTCAATGTGAGTATCTGCTTATATCTGTCTGAGCTATAAATATGGCATTTCCATTTTTTTACCTGGATATCGATTCTGATGATCAAAATTTAAATTGGTCAGTTCATAATTTGATTTACACTAAAATTCATTAATTTCCGACATAGGAAAATAAAAAAATGAAAGAAAATAGGTATTCATGTTATGATTCCCAGATTGAACTCCTGAATATTTGTGTATAAACAGCATCATTGAGCCAACTTCAGTTATTTCTTTAATTATGTAAGAAGATGTCAAATTCAGTTTCAAATGTGAATTTTCATGAGAGAGTTGCACATTGCTGTCAATCAGTGTATAGGGCATATTGCACCGATTTAGAAGTTTTTGGTACTTCTGGAAATTAACAAAATTAATTTTCTAATTAAATTCTACAATTTGTGACACATCCATGGTTAATATTACAAAAACTAGAATGACGGTTGATTACAATGGATTCTAAACCACAATGTATTTTAAATGCTGCTTCTTATCAGTAAACAAAATTAGCATTTAACGATTGGCCTCCTTACTGTTACTTGATGCCTGCCTATAGCCTATAGAGGTCAGCTAAGGACATGAACACAGTTTCTATAAGGGAACTTAGTGTGATATACAGGGTGGAAACCCCCCATAGATAGGGACATTTTGGACAACATGTGCAGGTTGGTCTTCAGCGCAATAGTGGCCACCGGGGATGTTCTTTAAAGTGCTGTAGCACTGTGACTATCAATCAGATGGTCATGAGATATGGTAGGCTGGTAGGAAATTGAGAGATGTATAAATGCGCAAAGTTATTTCTTAAAATAATAAAGATATAAGGAAAATGGTGTAAGGGTTTCCAGTTTTTTTGACCACCCTGTATAAGAATGCAATAATTCAAGTGACTATATATTAGTGAATAATAAATTGATTTTAACAGGTTCAAAGTTTAACTGATTATGTACCTTAAATAATACCTAGTATTTGGGAGATCTTAAGAGAAACTTGTTTGATATGACATTCCCACTGATAAATTATCATTAATTTTTATTCGTTTATTCGTTCTACAGTGCGTATCAAAACAGATTTCTATCTCGGAAAAGCACAAAACCAGTGATAACAGCATTGGTTTCATTCAATGCACCATAAAGCCACGTGTCTCCTCTTTACAATGATATATCATTCATTGATATTTGGTCATGGTTGGGCGAGTAACCATTACATTTGCAAAGTGGGCCAAAATTAGTTTGGGGCCAAGTCATCTGTGGATTAAAGCAGAGAAAAGCAGCCCATGGGCAATTCTTTCCCGAGGTTTTGCAATATCCGGTGGAGGAATTGTGAGCACAGATGCTCCTGAGATAGCTCCAAAAGAAAAAGTCACAACAATTCAAGTCAGGGGAACTTCCATTGGCACTTAGCCCTTGTACTGATTATTGAAATATCTAAAACTTGGTCCGGAGCCGATTTTGACCCACTGTGCAAATGGAAGGATTTTTCACCCAACCATTACCACATGTGAATGAATGGCATATCATTGCAAAGAGGTGAGACGTTGCTTTATGGTTCATTGAATGAAAATGATTTAGTCATCACTAGTTTTGTGATTTTACGAGATAACTATTGTTGCGTTTTTTTGATACGCCCTGTATATTAATTTGTCGTATCTTTATATTCAGAAGATGGGATTCGTTTTGAGTGGTTTTACGAAATGAAAATAACATGAATTTAGTTTTGTTTATGTTAGCGTCATCTAATGTTGTGAAGGTATTGTTGATAGGATGAACTAATATATTTAAATCTTTACCAGAACCCTGTAAATTTATGTCATCAGCAACAATTTTTAGTTTTAGAGTAGTAGTTGCTTTCACAATGTTATTAATATATATTAAAAATAAAATTGGTCCAAGAATTGATCCTTGTGGTACACCACACGATATTTCTGAAGGGTTTGATACACAGCCATCATATTAAGTAATTTGAACTGAGATCGGTTTGATAAGTAACTACCAAACCTATTATAAACAGTACCCTTTATTCCATAAAAGTGTGATTTTACAGAAATAACAGAATCTGGTGATTTACAGTGTCGAAAGCTTTTGATAAATCTATAAATATCCACTCGTTTAGACTTTTTTGTTTAGAACTTTTATACGTTAATCTATAAAAAAAAATCTACTTGTTTAGACCCAATAAACTCAAGTTCTGAGAAAATGAGGATTTCAGCAAGGGATGTTGACTTTACATGGGGATACAATTGACTTCAAAGCTGTATATCATTAACTTGGTATAAGAAGTTTCATTGCTGATCAAGAGGCTCTTCGGATCCAATTTCTTGAGAGTGAAGTACCAACAATAATGTATGCAAAAGTGTGAAATACATAAAACAAGCTTGAATTTGAACATTAATAATGTTTTGAACACAAAAAACATTCACTGTGTTAAACCTACTTGAATGCTAACTTGGCAAGGTGCAAATTTTACCTCCTTTCATAATGGTCCTGATTGCTCAGTCATCCATGACAGTTACAT